GTGTTAAACAAATTATAGAATAAGGCTACTTTCACACTGATCCGCCGCACAAACGAATAGGCATTTTCACCACGCATTTGCCGCGCTGAGCATCTTTAAAGGGCACGTGACTTAAACTGCACCAAAAACGCTTCCCAGGGGCATTTTTGAGGAGCTTTTCAGGCGTTTTCAAAACTGATTTCAATGGGAAGAGGCTTTTTTTTTAACTCAACAAACATGCCCCAAGGATGCTGCAAGCAGGAGTTTTTACACCGCACTGCAAGCGCCACGCCTCAGTGTGAAAACATACATAGATATACATTCACATACACTCACATACACAGTGAAGCATGTTTCTTAAGCTTTTCAGGCGCTTTTTTTTTTTTACGCAAAAATGCTTCAAAAACTCCTCAGGCTGAAATTAGCCTAAAAGTATTACTTTTTATCTGCAGTAACACTATTTTCATAAATGAACACTGATCAAAGCAGGAAAAATGTTTTTGGTGAAGTTCTTGTCTGTGGATTGCAGAATAAAAATAAAATCATTTTTTCAGAATAACTTCACCAAAATTAAGCCTCGTTTGTCCTTAAAAAAAATTATATAGTGGAAGTTTACTCATCTGCCTTCCAGCAATGCCATGCGCTCCCTCGCAGGTGCAAGGATCTTCACTTGGTCTTCTTCCAGGTTCAGAATCTTCGGCCATCATGACTGATCTGCTGTGCAGCATGCTCTGCTCAGTGTACATTGATGTACAGACTGGGAACAGGCAGGGAAGAATCTCATGCACTTGTGCATGATAGACAATCAGCTTTTAACCTCAGCTTGTTCAATTAAGCTTTAGCAATTACACCCCGTTCACACCGGTGCGACTTGGCATGAGTTTTGCATCCCTGCGACTTGCAAATCGCATGCCAATTCGCACCCTATTGTCCGCAATTGGACCGGTCATATCAGTGCAGTTCCAACATTGGTTTTAAAAGTAGTGCACTACTTAAGGTGCGAATTGCATAGACATCTGTATCAGATGTCTTGCAAATGGTACCTGAAAATGGCGGGTCCCCCGACATTGAAATCGTGCGACTTCACTGTAAGTTGCATGATTTCAAAGTCGGGCTTGATGTGAATGGAGGATAGCTGATTGGTTTCTATGCAGAAGTGCACGAGAATCTCAGTGAACCAACTTTTAGTAAATAAATCCCAGTAAAAAGCCTGCCTGTTTGCACATTTTCAATTTTATTAAAGCATCACTTTAGGTTATAGCAAAGTCATTGCCAAATAGGCCCCTACTAGAAATTTAACAATTGCTCTGGTCCATAGCGGATTTGCAGGTGTGAGCACTGAAGTGGTAAATGAACAGTGGTGCCTCATTTTATATTCCAATGTTCGTTTCCAACTTAGGTAGTTATTTTGCTTTAACCACTTGAGTCCCAGGTGACATTTTAAAACTTAGCCTAGACAGCAGTTATTCGTATTCGTCCAAGCAGCATTTTAAAATGGGATTGAGATAGGTTGGTTCTGGTGGAGATCTGTCAGTGATGGCCAGGATCAACCAGCTCCTGAGCTTCCAGTCCTGCTACACAGCCCTTCTGTTTCCCATACAGGCTGGAAAAAAGCTTGGTCACATGACAGCTGTATATTTGTTATTAAAAAAGGTACTTACATTTTTTCTTAATAAATACAGTGCCATCATTTATACTATTTTGCCAAAAGTACTGGGACGCCTGCCTTTACATGCACGAAATTTAATGGCATCCAAATCTTAGCCTGTAGGGTTCAGTATTGAGTTGGCCCACCCTTTGCAGCTATACCAGCTTCAACTCTTCTGGGAAGGCTGTCCACAAGGTTTCGGAGTGTGTCTATGGGAATGACAATTCTTCCAGAACCGCATTTGTGAGGTTAGGCACTGATGTCAGACAAGAAGGCCTGGCTCGCAGTCTCTGCTCTAATTCATCCCAAAAGTGTTCTATCGGGTTGAGGCCAGGACTCAGTGCAGGCCACTCAAGTTCCTCTACCCCAAACTCCCTCATCCATGTCTTTATGGACCTTGCTTTGTGCACTGGTGCACAGTCATGTTGGAACAGGAAGGGGCCATCCCCAAACTGTTCCCACAAAATTGGGAGCATGAAATTGTCCAAAATGTCTTAAGAGTTCCCTTCACTGGAACTAAGGGGCCAAGCCCAACCCCTGAAAAACAACCCCACACCATAATCCCCCCTCCACCAAACTTTACACTTGGCACAGTGCGGTCAGGCAAGTACCGTTCTCCTGGCAACTGCCAAACACAGACACATCCATCGGATTGTCAGACAGAGAAGTGTGATTCGTCACTACAGAGAACACATCTCCACTGCTCTAGAGTCCAGTGGTGGCGTGCTTTACACCACTGCATCCGACGCTTTGCATTGCACTTGATGATGTAAGACTTGGATTCAGCTGCTCGGCCATGGAAACCCATTCCATAAAGCTCTCTATACACAGTTGTGCTAATCTGAAGGCCACATGAAGTTTGGAGGTCTTTAGCTATTGACTCTGCAGACAGTTGGTGATTTCTGCGCACTGCACGCTTCAGAATGCGCCAACCCCACTCTGTCATTTACGTTTCCTACCAATCATGGCTGCGTTACTGTTGTTTCCAGCTGCTTCCACTTTGTTATAATACCACTAACAGTTGACCGTGGAATATTTAGTAGCAAGGAAATTTCAAAGATGGACTTATTGCACAGGTGGCAACCTATCACTTTTCCAAGCTTGAATTCACTGAGCTCCTGAGAGCGACCCATTCTTTCACAAATGTTTGTAGAAGCAGTCTGCATGCCTAGGCCCTTCATTTTATACACCTGTGGCCATGGAAGTGATTGGAACACCTGAATCCAATGATTTGGAGGGGGGTCCCGATTATTTTGGCAATATAGTGTAGGTGGGTTCTGGTGGAGGCTGTCAGTGATGGCCAGGATAAACCAGCTCCTGAACTTGCAATCCTGCTGCAGTGCACTTCTGCAAAAATATTCCTGCCACATATTAATCCCTAGATTTCAACTGACACATTGGATGTTTTTGACATTTACTGCATCATTCAGAATTTTATCACATGCAAACTTGACTTGATCTTATCATATTGTTATACAAGAAATTTACCAAATAATTTTTTTTTCTAAATGCTTTGCAAAGCAGCATCAAAAATATAAAAAAAAACTCTCCTAATTTAAAACACAAGCTTCCACCAATCTACGATATGGACTACTGTAGATGGGCTTTTTCAACCTGACTAATTATGTTTCATAAAAATCTCATTTATGTTATGCGTTTATCAAAAGTTTTTCTTGTTGATATTTTAGGGCAAGTATCTGAGGATGTGCAAATTACAGAAAAGTTGTGTTGAGAAAAACTACTAGGAAATGTTTTTTCGAATTTCTTGCAAATTAAAACCTAGGAAATAAAAGTGTATCCACCCAAATCTGCTACCATATTAAAGTCTTATCTGTCCCCAGAAACTAGAAGTACAGTATGTTAGGGCAATGTTAGAAATCATAAAGTGTGGGAGCAAGCCATCTCTGGGGAAAAAAAGAATGCTCTGGGACTCCATGGATGTATAGGGAGGAAAATCAAGCTTTACAAAGAACACCACTCTGAGAAGCCTTTGTTAAAAGCAGCATTTTCATACTCCCCAGCAGCCTACTACAGAAAAAAAACCCACCAAAACGTACAATCAGTCCCAGCTTCCAATAGTCGCTGTATAAGCCTGACAACAGGAAAATAAACTTGGCAACAGGGATATGTCCAGAGGGAGCAGGGGGATAGCCAAATAATGTGAATTTCAGCAGTCGTGCAGCTTCCTTCAGATCCACCAGTGCTCAAAAGACAAGAAAACAGGAGCGTGGGATGCCAATTAAAATTCACAGTCGTATTTATTAAATTACAAAAAAGCACACTTACATCTAGGTAACTGTATATCAGCAGGGAATGTAGCATTGCCACGAGGCAGCACGGTGGCAGTGGGCGCTGTAATTTGGCAGACATCTGGTTACACTGAGCAGGTCCCTCTGAGTTCGCTGCTGCTGCTCCTTACAGTCTCCTTGATTTGACATCCCGGTCTCTACATTCCCTGCTGATATACGGTTACCTAGATGATCTAGATGTAAGTGTGCTTTTTCTTAATTCAATAAATACTACTGTGAATTTTAATTGGGAACCTGTGTTCCTGTTTTGTTGTCTTTCCAGTAGCTGATTAGGTGCGGGGAAAACATTTTACTTATATTGAAGCTGACCATTTGTTTTACTGCCTTAAGTAAGAGGCCAAAATTTGTACAATGGCCACTTTATTTGGAAGCTTTGGAAAAATTAGTTTTCCTCAACTGATGCTTGCTTTGTGTTTTACCAAATTATACTTATGCAGTAGGACACTGATGAATGGGAGCCGCACACCAATCATTCATCAGTGTTCTTCCATGTTGAGTGGAGAGGGGCATCTAGAGCAGGCACCCTGGCCGTACTTAGCGAGTGAGAGATTCAGGCCTGGGACGGTGCTATGTCTTTCTGATATTTGAACTACATTTATGCAGTGCTTATGTTGTGCTGCAAGTTATTATAAAGACTTTTGTTCTGTTCTAATAATATAAGCCTTATTTATATGTACAGGAGGCTCTAGAGACACTACAGAAGAAACAAAGAGAAACAGAGAAGGAGAATTTATTAGTGGTCAATAACTTACTTGATGGATCCAAGAACCCTGACTTTATGGAACTATCTGACCTATTTCATCTCAGCGTGGAGAAAGAGCTCGCATTATACAAAGAGTTCAACCACTAACAGTTTATGAACCATGCCTGCCTCAAGTGCATTAGTGCCCCGTCTAACATCATTCTCCAAATTAATGGCAGCAATAGTAAATGTTTTCAATAAACATGTTGTTACAGCAATCAACAAATCCAAACTGTTGTGGCAAGCATGATGTTTCATTTTCTCTTAGCATGCAGACATTTACATTGGTTGGTTTCTGTATAGACTGCAGATATTTCTCAGTCTACAATTTTTGTGATGAGACCGCTCTTCTCTGATTTGGAGCACTCATGGCTGATCTACTAGAAGTTGTGGCCTTCTCTGAGATGTGCCGTGGTATTTTCTGTGTAGTCTGTCTTTCTTTCAGACTACAAGAAGCTGAACCTCGTGTTATTTCTGCGGAACACTTACTTGTTTGCTGAAGTTTTGATTGGTTGTTAGACGATGGTGCTGTTTTAATTGTGATAGTTTTTGTGTATGATCTTTTTTCAGCTGAAACTGCAGCAGTAGCAGGTGCTGTTGTCTGATTCTTAGATACAACTTTGCCAACCTTACGGAGATCTTTGGTATTCTTTTCAAGTAAAGAGGCAGTCTGATGGTCCTTGTTAGCTTTAATGGTGTTCTGCGTTTGTGAAGAAGTTTTGTCCTGTGAGTCTAATTTATGAGGAGAGGTTCCAGGCAGTTCAGCACTGCACAGCTTCTGGGATGAAACCAAGGATTGGCCATCTCTGCTCTCATTCAGTTCTGCCAGACGATCCTCATGTTCTCTCAGTGCCCTCTGCCTCCTCTGATGAGACCTTTGCAGCATGTCCTGAGTCAGATTTGAGAGACTGTCTGAGAAGAGAATTCAAATGTTAAGTGTAAATGTCCATTAGGAACCTGAATGCTATTTTCCTACTACAGCTTGTATAGATTTGCTTTATTTAAAGAATCATTGTTCATCAAAAGAATTAAACATATACCTAAGCCACAGTTTCTCAACCAGGTGCCACAAGTATGGGACCCAGTTTGCCCTGGATTGGCAACTTGAGTTGCCATGGTACAGACAGCCTGGCCACCAGCACCATAACAACCATTGATACTCTAGGGCCACAAAACATGCCATTATTCCGTGCTATGGTGTTGGAGGATGGCCTGCCTGCACCATGGCAATGCATGACATTGATCCTGGGCAGGCGCTATGCAGGCCTGCCCACAGCATTTAGAGGTCCACCTCCTACAGACCTACTCCGTCTCCTGCCAGAGCAAAAAAGGTAGGGCTTTGATGTGAACAGGGGAGTGTGTGACTGGTGGGTTCTCATGATGAGGGGGGATGATTGGGAGGAGTGTGTGATTGGTGAGCCTTTTGATGGGGGGGGGACTGTGTGACTTGGGGGGGGGGGGGGGGGGCCTCTGATATGACAAGAGAACTTTAAGATGGGGTGACTCTGATGTGATGGGGGCTCCTGATGTATAGGAAGGTCTCTGATGGACTGAAGGACTCTGATATGATGGAGGGAATTTGATGTAAAGGGGGGCTTCTAATGTTTTTTCATTAAGGTGGTTGTATGCATCATCGCAGGTTCAGGTTTCCTATTGAGAAGTAACATTTACATTGATTACATTTTAGACTGGGGTGCCTTGATATTTTGCATACATAGGAGTGCCGCAACTGGAAAAAAGGTTGAGAAACACTGTCAGGGCTCCCGGGTATGACCAGAGGTGTGTGAATGACGCAGGGAAACGCAGACTTCAGATATGTTATAAACTATATAATTTATTGACACTAACAATACAAACATAAACGCAGTACAATACTAAAACATAACACAGTGCAAACAAACCAAACCAAACCACCCACAGATAACAGTACATACAGTGCAAGCGTCGTCAGGCAGGCCGGGTCAATATCAATCGGGCAGGTAGGTACAGGGGGAGCAAGCGGAGAATGGTCGGGGTCACAAGCCAGGTTCAGCAGGTAGCAGGCAGCGTGGTACAGAGGGTCAGGCAGAGGAATGGTCAGGAACAAGCCGGGGTCAGAGCAGGAGAAGTCAGCAGAGGTCAGATCAGGCAGGGTCAGCGACAAGACAGGAACAGGAACAGGATACAGGGCCCAGGAAAAACACACACCAAGGCAGAGTCTGCAGGTCTGGCCATCCCTTAAATACACCAGTATAATCAGTTCCAGGTGTTTGACTGGCTGCAAGGTTGAGTCTCTGATTGCTGGGAGCACCCGCTGGCCAGCCCTGGTACTGCAGCTCATAAGGCAGGTGAGTCCCACCATTGCTGGCCAGTCCATTCCTGACAAACACTGACCTAAACTAGTGCAACAGCCCACAAATTAGAAAAATATATGTAAAATAAATTTGTATACAGTCATGGCCAAAAAAAATGGCACCCCTGCAGTTTGCCCAGAAAATTTACTGTAATTACAAATGTTTAGACATTCTAATGTTTATTTCTTTTGTTTTGTATTGGTATGACACACAAAAGTGGAGAAACAAAAAGCCAAATCTGACACATTCCATGCAAAACCCCAAAAATGGACTGGACAAAATTATTGACATGCTCAATGTAATATTTGGTAGCACACCCCTTGGAAAAAATAATTTAAATCAATCGCTTCCTGTAACCACCAATGAATTTCTTATACCTCTCTACTGGAATTTTGGAGCACTCTTTTTTTTTTTTTTTTTTCTGCCAACTGCTTCAGGTCTCTCAAATTGGAAGGGTTCCTTTTCCCAACTGCTGTTTTGAGATCTCTCCACAAGTGCTCTATGGGATTGAGATCTGGACTCATTGCTGGTCAGTTCAGTACTCTCCAGCACTTTGTCTAAAATCACTTCTGGGTGCTTTTTGACATTTGTTTTGGGTCATTGTCCTGCTGTAAGACCCATGATCTTTGACGGAGACCCAGCTTTCTGACACATACCCTCCATTGTAGCCCAGAATTCTTTGGTATTCTTCAGATTTTATACTGCCACACACGGTGAAGACATCCAGTGCCTGAAGCAGCAAAGCAAGTCCAAAACATCAGTGAACCTCCACCATGTTTGACTGTATTCTTTAAAGGCCTCATTTCTTTTTCTGAAAACAGTAGAATGATGGGCTTTACCAAAAAGCTATAATTTTGTTTCATCTGTACACAGCACATCTCCCAAAAGGATTTTGCCTTTTTCAGGTAAGTTTTGGCAAACTCCAATCTGGATTTTTTGTTTTATGTGTCAGCAGTGGGGTCCTCCTGGGTCTCCGACCATAGCATCCCTTTTCATTCAGATGCCGACGTATAGTGCAAGCTGACACAGTTGTACCCTTTGCCCGAAGGTCAGCTTGAATTTGTCTGGAAGTTGATCAAGCTTCTTTATCCATTTGAACAAACCTTCATTGCAATCTTTGATAAATTTTTCTCTTTTGTCCACTTCCAGGGAGATTAGCTATAGTGCCATGGGCTGTAAACGTCTTGACAATGTTGCACACAGTGGACACAGGACACATTAAAATCTCTGAAGATGGATTTATACCTTGAGATTGCCCATGCTTTTCCACAATTTATGTTCTCAAATTCTCAGACAATTCTTTGCTGCTTTTTCTCTTCTCCATGCTCCATGTGGCACACAGAGACACACAACAGAAAGATTGAGTCAATTTTTCACCATTTTAACTGGTTGCCAGTGTGATTTGTATATTGCCAGCACCTGTTAATACAGGTGAGTTTAATTACAAAATGACAGGAGCATCACAAACTTGAAATGCAATTATTTCTTACAATTTTGAGAAGGTGCCAATAATTTTGTCCAGTCCATTTTTGTAGTTTTGCATGGAATGTGCCAGATTTGGCTTTTTGCTTCTCTACCTTTTTGTGCCATACCAATACGAACAAAAGAAATAAACATGAGAATGCCAAAACATTTGTAATTGCAACAATTTTCTTGGCGAAGTGGTGCATTATTTGAAAGAAATGCACGGGCGCCAATATTTCTGGTCATGACTGTATATGCTGTCACAACCTTTGATACTGTACCTCACAACGTGGCTTATAAATTGGCAACTTTAGTCACAGAGGCACCAGCTAAGTGGCACCAACAATTTGTCCTCTTTGAAGCCCAGTAAGTTCTGACATGACTCCGTATTACTAGCAGCGCACGCAGTGAATAAGAAAAGTGAGGCTTCCCACCTGTTAGATAGGCGTCTCATTGCACAGGGGAAGAAAAAGAGTGTTACATCACTTCAGCTTTCAACGCCAAACATGTCATCACTTTCACATCTGCAAATCATGTAAAGTTTCCATTTTTTTGTCCAAACTCTGTATATCTCATATGCATGCCAACTCATAATGCCAGCTGTGCAACCATTCTTCCCTTTCTAAAAGGTTTTCTTTATGCATTTTTAAAAGATAGATAAATGAGCAGTATAATAGGTTATTTTAAAAATATATAAAAAGTTTGAACTGAGAAGTTAGGTACAAAATGTAAAAAGTGAGCCACAGTTTAGAGAAATCCTAATAGAATGGGATAAATGGTTGCACAGTCAGCATTATGAATCAACTTGTGTTTGAAAAGGGGTACAACAATGGGGTAAAAATATTACAAATAGGTAAAACGAATTGAGTTTTAAAATTAAGTGGGTTAGAAGCAAACTTTAGGCAAGTCAAGTTTCACAAACTAAAGGAATTGAAGGGAGTGGTGTAGAGGGGTGGTTTGGGGGTGGTCATCCTGAGCGCAACATTTAAAGGGGCGTATAAATTATTCCCGTACTGTCCTGAGTGCCACACTGTGACCAACTGTCATCCTTTGTCCAATCATGGCATTGGCTGCCTGGCGCTGTGCTGCCACCCTCTCCACCCCAGGCCAGGCTTTCAGCCGGTGCCCAGCAATCCCAGTTTCGGCTCCTCTGCAGTTCCCTGCTCTGTCTGGCCCACGTGTAGGGAGAGGAGCCGGCTATGTTTAGCAGAAGGGGGGAGGAGGAGAAGGCGGTGGCACACAGCTCACACCAGACATTCCACCAGTCTGATCCTGGTCAGGTCCTTGGAGAACATTGGACGGTGTGCGGAGGATGTGATCAGAGCACTGCTTTCTTTTTCTCTTGTTAGGGGGTGCAAATTACTTGCCGTGGCCCGGGCATTGATAAACAACGTTATGACACTTGTTGAAGGCACTTAATATTACAGTTCTGCAGCCCATTAAAGGTGTTAATGCAGTGAGAGGAGGGCATAAGAAATTAATAACAGTGAATTTTTACATAGTGACTCTGGGGATAGGTGTGACTTGCACCTCTTTCCTAATCAATAGAAATTACTAGTTTGGGCCACAGACCCATTTTAATAAAAAAATAACTGTGGTGATATTAATTTTCAGTACTCCATCATTTTAATCATTTTATGAAGTATGGTATAAATAACTTTTGTTCAATATATTTATTGAAAAAGGTTTCCACCTTGTACAATACATGGATGTCAAACATAACGAACAAGGGTGCAAGTAATAAGCCATGGTACACAGGTTACACCTAAGCCCAAAAAATAACTGTTGATCAATTGCTCAAATGTGGATAACAAATATAAACGTGGGAGCTTAACTGTTCAGGAGAAAAAGAAGGCAGAACACTGTTAGTTACCAATGGTGATAACTTGTGCTTATCCAGGGGAACTCCAGATGTCTAAATACTGGTAAATAGAGTGAGAATTAAGGGGAACTAAAAAGAGAGAGAAAGAAAGGAGGTGGGAGGAGAGCTTAAGGGGGATGAGAAAAGGATAGGGTCAGAATCCTGGTGGTTAGGCAGAAGGCAATGTCAATTTGAGGCACAACATCTAGTAGGAGGGAGCCGTCAACAAGGGAGCAAAAAAGTGGTGTCAGAATGTGGAGGAAAACTAATACTGATCCACCCACGGCTACCAGATTTGAGTGTATCATGTCACTTTAACACTCAGAACAGCCTCCAGTTTGGCATGGATCACAGCTAGTGTCACTTTATTTTTTACCTCAATGAGGTTCAATTGAAAAGATTTCCAGGACAGGCTATGATTTGTTTAGCAGCCATTGCTTCTTGAAGAGAAAGAAAAAAACAGTTTTTTGGTGAGACAATCAGGCTTTATGTTCATAAGAGCCACTAATGGGTCAAGGGCCACATTCTGCCTGAACAGAATAGAGATGATCCAAAAAATGTCTGCCCAGATAACACTAACAATGGGGTAGGACCACCAGATATGAAGGTGGTAGCATGGATTTCCACAACCACAGAAACCGACCAATGGATAAAGGGGAACGTATTTGGATATTCTGGCAGGTTCCAGTGCAAAAGGACTTTGTAATTCACTTTGAGGGCCATAACATTTTGTGATGCAGATTCAGTAACAGTCCATATAGCCAGACAGTGATCTTGTGATAATTGGATTCCCAAATCCGTTTACCATTTGTGAGTATATATAACTTTTTAAATTTACATTTTCTTTATTTATACTCACATTACCTAGAATTTCTGATATCAACGGTGCCCAGCACTTGGCTCAGCCAATGAACAGAGAAGTGTGGGATTTGGAAGGGAAGAATATTTCACAGTATTCCTCAGTTCATTAATACCTTTCACAATATTTTACCGTTTATCAGTAGTGATCACAGTTTTGTTCTAGGCATGAATGTAATGGGACACAGGCTGCAAATGCAACATACAGTGGATGCAAAAAACAAGGATGTGTAGATTAATTTTACAAACCAAAAATATGGGAAGTTTAAATACAGAAAGTTGTCCCATACTAGGAGAAGTTGGAAGCTGACATTTTTTTGTAAAAATTATCATTGCTTGGATATACCTGTTTCAGTGCTTTTCATGTCACTGACCTGGAACAAATATGCAGCCAGTAAAGTCAAAGGGGTTGATTTACTAAAACTGGGGAGTGCAAAATCTGGTGCAGCTCTGCACAGAAGCCAATCAGCTTCCAAGTTTTTTTTTTTGTCAAAGCTTAATTGAACAAGCTAGAAGCTGATTGGCTACCATGTACAGCTGCACCAGATTTTGCACTTTCCAGTGTTAGTAAATCAACCCCAAAACCTCATTCTAGGTCAACTCGTCAAAGTACTGAAATCAGTTAAACTAGTATGAAAGTCGGGCAGCTAGCATTTTAGATATAAGTTATCAATGACAGCCTCCAAATTTATCTCACAAAAACAAAGATCTGCGGTGTCATAGTTAACATTTAGAAATGTTCACGGTGCCTAAACAATACCCTGAAAATGTACCTATTGGGTTAAGTTACTCCTAAGAAACAGCAATACACTTCCTGCTATGTGAGGGTAATCCTGTGTCTGTAGCTTTATATCTGCAGTATGAGATCTAAGGCATTGCTGCATCTGACTGAGATTCATTACTCACTGCCCTTTTTGCTGTAGTCTCTGACATGGGGACACACAGCCCTGACTCTACCAAGATGGTGGCCTCCACAGAAAGGCACAGAACAGAACAAGGCATAGTAAGTCAGGGATGGGGAAAAGATCAGCTACAGGTAGATCACGGGTAATAATGGTGACTAGTCCTTTATCCTATGCTTGCCTTTTTTGGGGTACAGCCTCAAGAGTTTAGTTCTTTCTTAATGTTATTAAAGTAGGAAGCTGTCACAAGGCTTCACTACTGGCTTCCCTTTGTTAAGATGCCAGGACCTGGACCTGAAGCAGACTGAAGAATTGGCTCAGGGAGAACATCACTGGATCACTGGACCGGTAAGTGTCCTTATATTAAAAGTCAGGAACTACAGTATTTGTAGCTACTGACTTAGAATTTTTGTGGGGGAAGATGGACCGCCTCTTTAACTGGAACAATGTGGCAAAATGTATACCGGAATAAACAGTCATATAAATGGATTTGTATTTCACCTTATGTGTTATGTATTTATACAATTATTATGCTTTTTCAGAAATAGAGGAGATAGAAGTTAATATGACAGTTTCTGCATTTGATCACCAAGGAAAATGTTGTGATTGACAAAACCACTGTCTTATTTATAAACCCTTTTGTCATAGCTGAGGCTCTTTTACTATTTTTGCAAGGGATTTCTGTAAAGAAAAAATGATTGTCAAGGTCACATCATTAGAACAGTTTGTTGTACCTGAATCTTCAGACAGTAGGCTGGAGTCATCACTGTCACTGCCATCTTTTTCATTGACAGACTTCTGGCTGTTTGGGGCTCTTACAGTTTCTCCGTCTAGTTCTTGCAGGAGGGGCAAGGCATCTAGTACTTGCTGTCTGTGAATAAAATGCATATCTTACAACCGTGAGACAATTTTACAGGGCTTGGTGCAAGGGAACCCAGCCCAGATGGGGACCATCCCATTTTCACATACCTTGAAATGGTCCCAGACAGATGACACCTACATTACTATGTGCAGACCCTGTACGTGTGCTGAAGCATAGCAACTAGCATTTAAAGAAGAAGCTAGCTGCATAACAGGTTTACTTTAAAGAGACACTGTCATATCTCTAAATGTTTAAAATCAGGCTATCCCCTGCCTGAAGATATCATATACTTGCCTCTCTAGTGGCTAATTTGTCCTACCTCTTTTCTGCTCCCGTGCAGCAGCGCTGTAGAGCATCTTTTGGCATTTGACACTAACGGCTCATGTACACTGCAGCTGCTAAACTGATGTTCAGGAGCTGTTCAGCATTTTTTTCAGCAGCCCCTGAACTCTCCCTAATGTTTTCCTATGTGTCCATGTACACATAGTCGTTTACAGTCATTTACAGGCAATTGAGTTTACAGTCGTTTTTTTAAACGCACCAAACTTGTGTTCAGGAGTAGATTTTACCGACGTTTCAAACGCTTGTAAACATGGTTAAGCGTTTTCTAACTGTTCCATATCCAGATGCTGTCCAGAGCCTTTTTTCATCTTTGGAAATGCATGCAAAGCATTTCCCATGTATTCAAATGGACCCGGTACACTAGCACAGTCAGTTCCAGGTTTCGCGTGAAGGAAAAAATCGTAGAACGTGAGCATTATGCTCATGATGGGATCCATAGTGAATACAACCAGAAAAGACAGCTAATCTCAACACACACTGCTCTCTCTGCTTCTTCTCTCTCCATTTCAATCAAAATGTCTGAAATAGTTAATTATTTACTATTTTTCAGTGCATTCTGGGCATTTGGGAAGGTCTCCTGAGGTTATCTTTTAAAAATGCTTCTAAACGCAAACGCGCATAAATGCGGTATGCAAACGCGGCTAAACTGACTATTTTTAACCTACGTTTTCCAGCAGTTTCCATTGTTCAGAAGAGTTTTCCAAACGCCCTGTGTACATAAGCCCTAAACCTTCAAAGATATAACAGAGTCTCTTTAAACAGACAAGTTGTGGAGGAAGGGAGGGGAAAGTCCAGGTCCAGTCCAATAAAAAGCTTTTATGGGATGAACACCGATTCGGGTAAGGGCAGGAAAAGTTACAGATTAGGGTGGATGTGGATTATCATATTAGGAGAATTGCAGAAGTATCATGTTTGGATGTTCCTGATTTGCAAATCAGAACAGCAGGAAATCAGGATTCATTAATTGTATGTTTTTCTGCAGATTTGGACAAACCAAGAAGCATTTTTTTTTAGGAGAACAAAAAGTTGATATTTCCCAATTTGTCTGATTTTCAAAATGATTCACTCCTTACTAGGAATATTCGCTCAGCTACTATTTTTTCAATGGCAGGTGAAACACCAAGGCCAATGCATTAAAAGTGGAAAGAAATCTAAAATGAGAGTTGTTGCACCCAGCAACCAATCAGAATTCATATTACATTTCTCCATAAAATGAAAGGCGAAACCTGCTTGGTTGCTTTTAACAATTCCATCTTTGTGCTTGTTTTCTTTTCTCCAGTTTTCATGCATCAGCCCCGTTGCTGCATTTCAGAGGAGTATAATGTGGGAACTAATTAATCTCTTACATATTACTCAACAAGGGCACCAAGTACTGCTGCTTACTTGTTAGACTTTGTTTAAACAGCACCAACCAGAGCGCAATCTTTCTTTGGAAAATGCTGTTTTGTTTGCAACATGTGAATGTACACTTTTTGCCAGTATTTTCACTCACACCTGGATAACGATATGGGGTACTTTTAAAATCACATACAGTGGGGAAAATAATTATTTGCCCACTTACAAATAAATGAAGGGTCTATAATTTTTATCATAGGTGTATTTTAAATGATAAAGAGAATATCAACCAAAAATCCAGAAAAAACACGATACAAATGTTATAAATTGAGTTGAAGTTCAGTGAGTCAAATAAGTATTTGATCCCCCAAGCAAAGTACATGGTGGAGAAACCCTTGTTGGCAAGCACAGAGGTAAGATGTTTCTTGTAGTTGGTTACCAGGTTTGCACATAACTCAGGTGGGATTTTGGTCCACTCTTCTTTGCAGATCTCTAAATCTTTAAGGTTTCTTGGCTGCTGCTTGGCAACTCGAAGTTTCAGCTCCCTCCATAAATTTTCTATAAGATTAAGGTCTGGAGACTGGCTAGGCCACTCCATTACATTATTGTGCTTCTTCTTGAGCCACTCCTTTGTTGCCTTGGCCATATGTTTTGGGTCATTGTCATGCTGGAAGACCCATCCACGACCCATCGTCAGTGTTCTGGCTGAGAGAAGAAGGTTCTCATCCAAGATTTTACAATACATGGCCTTGTCCATTGGCCCCTCAATGCAGCAAAGTCAGACTGAACCTTTAGTAGAGAAACAGCCCCAAAGCATAATGTTTCCACCTCCATGCTTGACTGTAGGTATGGTGTTCTTAGGGTCATAGTCAGCATTTTTCTTCCTCTCAACAGGGCAAGTCGAGCTAATGCCAAAGAACTCAATTTTGGTCTCACCTGACCATAGCACTTTCTCCCAGCCTTCTCTGAATCATTTAGATGTTCATTGCCAAACTTCAGACGGGCGTGCACATGTGCCTTCTTGAGAAGGGGGACCTTGCGGGTACTGCAGGATTTCAATCCATGATGGCGTATTGTGTTACCAAATGGTTTGTTTGGTGACTGTGGTCCCAACTGCTTTCAGATCATTCACAACCCCTCCTGTGTAGTTATGGGCTGAACCCTCACTTTTCTCATGGTCATCCTTATCCCATGAGGCGAAATCTTGCATGGAGCTCCAGATCGAGAATGATGGTTATTTTGTATTTCTTCCACTTGCAATCTTGTCCCTGAAGTCCTGTGACAGCTCTTTGCCCATGATGGTGAGGTTTGAATGGAAGAAAGAGATTCTGTGGATGAATGTCTTTTATACACATAATGAGTTGTCATTAGGAGCACCTTCTTAAATTGACAGGACTAATCTGTGTACCACATAAGCACATAGCCAGTCTCTGGGAGCCAGAATTATGGTTGGATGGTTGGTTGGTTGGTTGGTTGGTTGGTTGGTAGGGGATCAAATACTTATTTTACTCACTGAACTGCAATTCAAATTGTATCATGTGTTTTTTCTGGATTTTGGGTTGATATTCTGTCTCTATCATTTAAAATATACCTATGATAAAAAAATTATAGACCTTTCATTTCTTTGTAAGTGGGCAAACTTACAAAATCTGCAGGAGATCAAATAATTATTTTCCTCCCTGTAGCTGTTCGTCTGTTGAAACTGCATCTAAATTCATTCTGTGCGAATGGAGAAAAGTCAAATGTTCTCAGCCTTTCAAATGTGTGAATGCATACAATACCACATTATGGCCACTAGATGGCACTAGCTATAATAGGAAATAAGGATGCTCCTCAGCTCCATCTATTGGCCATAATACAGTGTTTTCTGCATTTATACATTCGAATTGCAGATAATATAGCCCGAGAACATTTTATTTTCCCCCATATTCGCACAGAATGATGAGAACATTCTGATAGCTCTAAACACAAAATGGTTCTATACACTGTTTGATGATATACCTCCAATATCTCACCTGTAACCTTTTGTCTTTGTACATGGATTGCCAGACAGATCTAAGATGAGGAGACTCTGGGGTAATTCCCCTGTTCAGATAAGAGAAGTTGGCATTTGAAATCCAAAAGCACATGGTCACTGAAATCATAAAGTTTGAAGCGCAAGGAGATGTTAACATTTTATAAACCTCACCAGCATTAAGTTTCTGAATCAAATTATTAGATAGGGCCAAGAACTGCAGGTTCTGTAAGCAGCGAAGATTTTGGATTTTCTCAATTTTGTTCCCAGAAAGATTAAGGAACCTGAAATACAAATGCGAACATACAAATGCCAACTCTGTTAAATAACAAAAATGCTGTTAACTTTATTGGCTTAAGCCAGCCGTGGTGGAAGGAAAGACAAATTGTACAATCTATGGCTTGCTTAAGTCAAACAGACAGGGTGTAGCACTCATCACAGTCCACCATCAATTATTTGTGATTGTTATGTTCAACTCTAGCTACGATAGAAGAAATCTGATTAATTGCTGTGTGTTAGGGCTCATTCACACAGGCAGGCAGGAGGCAGAAAAAGCCATGGTTTCACCACCACCACCCCCACCCAAACGGCCACCTAAACAAGGGCATGCAGACACTCAGGGCTGTACCTATGCTGTGGCTTCAGAAAAAATTAAATGGCATGTTGCATTCAGCAGACAATATCAACTCTGAACGCGACCCATTCAAACAGCATTTAAATAAACTCAGACATACAGACAAATATAAAGTGTATGTAAATGCAAACCAATTCAGAATAATCCCATTACACAATCACTAAAGTGGTTGTAAACCTCAGACATGAAATATGAACAAAGTATATCCCTCTATAGTGTGTACTTGTCTCAATTAAGAGCATTAAGTATCATTTCTGGCTGCTGATGCATTCCTCTGCTATCAGCATGAATCACTTCTGACAAGTTTTCCTGACACTAAGAGAAAAATGGTGACAGGGGAGGAAGCTCCAGCAGATTGACAGCTTCAGCTCTGTTCCTGTGTGCTGTGTGAAGGGAGTGAGTCCCTTCTCTCCAATCAGATCTCAGAGCTCTCCTCACTGAGCTCTGCAGAGTGTAACTTGAGCTCTCCGCTCCCTTTTTTGTGAACTCTTAAACAAGCTTATAAATTCAGCACTTTGAATGGATGTAGAGAAGACTGCAGATAAACAGTTACAACATATGTAGGAGGATTTGTTTCATCTCTCTGTATCGCCTGAGGCCAGTCACTTCACTGGGTATATGTAAGAGTTTACAACCTCTTTAAGCATGTTGCACCATTATCAAAAAACTCCAGTGCCCAGGGGCCCCAGGTGCATGGGGGCCACATGATTATTTTGCATTACATCATACTTGCCAACTGAATTTGCCTGGATACTCATGGTTTTTACCAAGCTGTTCCAGAATGGCCCAGGCAGCATCCCAGATCCTGTACTGTGCCCTCCTGATCTCCCAGTATTGTGCCCTCCTACCTCCCCCTGTACTGTGCCCTTCTGCTCCCCACCCCCAATACTGTGCCCTTTGTGTTGATTAGTTTTTGATTATGGCATGTTTTCGTGTTCTTTAAAATCAATGTTATTGAAAGTACTAATGAATATATGTTTGTTTAATTATATCAACTATTTATACTTTAATTCTTGAGAGTAGGTGCGTAAATTGGGGCAGGCTTGTAGGGACCCCAGTGCATTACCTTGCCCAGGGGCCCATGATGCTATTAAAACGGCCCTGATCTAATACTTAGCATTCTTCAGCAAAGCTTAGATCTTCAAAGAAGCAGTGTTCACAAGTACAGACAACAGGACAGATCAGAATTTGTTGCTTTCTTATTTGGGAGCTGCTCATTTTTTATTTTTTTTTAATGAGAAAAAAAAAGATTTTAAGTTTATAAATTCTTAGGAGGCTCTTGAACTTGGGGGTGACATGCAAGAAGCTATATCAGCCAACAAGGTTGGGAACTTCTGATGTTGCTCATATAAAACTGAATGTGTCACATCTAGTGTTTTTAGGGCGCCATTCACAGCTGAGCATTTTGTAGCTCCAAAACCATCAACATCCAGAATCCCATGGTTTTCAATTGTGCCTGTTCACACCTGAGCCTAGTGTCGCTTGAAGCTTAGAGCTCAAAAAAGTACATGAGCTACACATCTAGCCAGGTTGAAAAAAAAACAAAAAACACAAGTCCATCCAGTCCAAACAAGAAAAATAAGGAATAAATAAATAGAAATCCTCCATTTACAGAAACCTCTACACCAGAGGTAGACAATTTTGGCCCTTTGACTGTTGCCTAACATGTTGTTCCATCATGCATCCAGTTCTGGGAGTCATGCTTATGGCTACAATGCATCATGGGGCTTGTAGTTTTCCTACCCCTGCTCTACACACATTTGATCCAGAGGAAGGCAAAAAAAAACCTAAATAAAGAATGGTCCAATTTGCTACAGCTCCTTCCTGATTCCGCAGAAGGCAATCAGATATGAGTTACAAGCTTCAGTTGGTTTTGGTTCAAATAGATTTCAATGGGAGCACCACGAAAAATGTGCAAATGCATGAAAATTGCATAAAAATGCATATTGCACACTTTTTTCCTGGTAACTGACCAGGGGTAGTTAACCAAGCAAATACCAATTTCCTCCTGGGGGATCAGGAAGGATTTTTTCCCCTGCTGGAGCAAATTGGATCATGCTTTATTGGGGTTTTTTTTCCTTCCTCTGGATCAACTGTGGGTATAGGATTTTGTATTTGGAGTTTTTTTTAATTGGCCGAACCACCCTTTCCCAACCTTTTCAACACAGAGGAACCCTTGTAATAACTTTCCCGTCTCAGGGAACCCCTACTAAAATGACTATATCTACAACTCATGATATATTAGTATGATGATCAGTGGGAAGAATGCTCCTTACACTTGTCATCGGAAAGAATTACCCCCCTTACAGATATTAAAAAGATCATTAGTGTCAGTGGGAACTTACCTGAGAGGCAGAAATTGCTCATTGCTCAAGGACCCCCTAGCAACCTCTAGAGGAACACTAGTTGAGAAACCCTGTGTTGAACTGGAAAGAATTATGCCCTTATAGATATCAAAAAAGATCAATGGTGTCAGTGGCAACCTATCTGTGAGCCAGAAATTGCTTATTGCTCCAGGAACCCCTAGCAACCTCCTGGAGGAAACCTTGGGTTCCATGGAACTCTGGTTGAACTGATGGACTTGTGTCTCTTTTCAGCCTATCTGTGTAACTATGTAACTTGATTTTCATTGGCTAAAAATAATTTTAAAAAATGATGCTCAAGCCTCAAATGACAGATAAAGCAAAATATGAGGGGTCTTCAAAACGTTTATGCACTTTTACCCATGAAAAAGTGCTCAAACTTTTTGAAGAACCCTCGAAATAAAAAATTTAAACAAAAACGTAAACATTTTTAAAAAAAATAATATATATATAAAAAAATACAAACAAGCAAAAATGCATGTGAAAATGCTAAAAAAAAAACCCAAAACATGTTAAACAACAAAAGACGCTCAGCTCAAATACAGCTTTAAGCTGGCCATACACTAGTAAAATTTCAAATGAACATTTGCACAAAAATCCTCAATACATTCGAATATCATTCGAATATCATTCAAAAGTAAGTCAAGATTTTGTTTGCTTTTAAACTTTTTAAACAAAGTGCCAGTTTACTGTCCATAAGGTTTTTGGGGGGCCAGAAAATGTCCAGGCATCAGTGAGAGTAAACAATGAACAATCTTTAGTATCAGGTGGAGGAGTATTTGGAGTTAGTAAGGGGAATAGTGCTGCATCCTTGGTGTCAGTGGAAGGAATAGTGCCTCATTGTTGGTGTTAGTGGCAAAAATTATTCCCCACTGTAGGTGCCAAAGGGAGGGATATTGCCCCAAGGGCCAGATAAACGCAAGAAAAGGGCCGCATCCAGCCCCAGGGCCACAATTTGGAGACCACTGCTTTAAAAAAAATCAGTTTTGGAATGAATGGACTTTACCAAACAAAAAAAAAAAAAAATCATGTACACCTTTAGAAATTCATACATTCAAGAAAAGTTTTCCATTCTGCTCCTTCAAAATTTCTTGTCACTGCGGTCAAAAACAAACATTGATTTGACCCCACTAATGATTAGAGAAACAAGAAGGTTCTTACAACAAGTAATTTCGAACAAAGTTCTACCAGTGTATATCCAGCTTTAGGGCTGGTTCACACTACATGCAGTCCAGAGTGTTTTTTTCCACATCCAAAACACACAGAAAGTAGGTTACATGGTTGTCAATGGCATGGTGCACACTAGTGCATGCAGTTCCAGTGCTTTCCAGTTCCAGAAAAAAAAAAAAAAAAGTAGAACATGCTGCATTTTTCCTGCACAGACCTGTACTGGAATGCAGTAGAACACCGGAACGCATCAAAAATGCACGGTAATGTAAATGCATCAAAAAAACAATGCACCCCAAATGACCCAAAAAAAATTACAAAAAAAAAAGCATCTGGAATGCACATGAACATGTAAAAAAAACACATAAAAACCACGCATCAAAAATGCATTGTAATGTAAATGCATCAAAAACACAATGGACCCCAAATGACCCAAAAATTACAAAAAAAAGCATCTGGAATGCACATGAACATGTAAAAAAAAAACCACATAAAAAACGCGCATGCAGAAGAACATCCAGACTGCATTTCTATGGTGTGAAGCGGCCCTTAGACAGCCAGTTTGTGCTGATTTCCACCCCAATACTACATTATGCAGACAAGTAACCAGTTTCATAACCATAGGGCTCAGAATCTGACATAGCAGATAGAGATCACGTGCTGGGGATAAATGATCAGATTATGTTTCCACCTTTTTATCATAGTGTTTGGAGAAGTAAAGAGAGAAAGGAAATCCTAGTCAGCTGTAATGAAGTACTGCATAGATACTATCAAAGTAGGAAGCAGTCAGGTGCCATCACATCTGTGGTGAACAATAGACAGCAATGTCAGCCAGATATCAAGTTATGCTAAGCAACGGGTAGGCTGCTACAAACAGATAAACACGACCATCACGACCATCACGCCGCTATCCACTAGTGAGCGGATATAGAGGTTGCTGATTACACTCACTGCAGATCCTGGAGAACCTCTACATTTTCAATGGTCTTTATTTGATTCTAAAAAAAAAAAAAAAGAAGGAATGGTCAAATGAATGATCAGTAAATAAAGGACAAGTTAGTACGCGACGTTCAGCTAAGGAAATATTTAAACAGAGATTTCTGTATTAGCCAAATGTCCTGTGAGCAAAAAGATTAATTAAAGGGTATGAAAAGTAATTATTTTATGTTGGTGGATAAAGGTGGAAATGGCTAAAATAGCCCAAATCTGGAAAATGTGAAGATTATCCCTTGCAGTGGGCTGCACCCACACTGCAAGGGTTAACTGCCCATTTAGGTTAAGGGGGGGGGGGAGGAGAAGCACTTTAACAACTTGACCTCTGGAAGTTTGTGCCCTCTTCATTACCAGGGCATTTTTTTTGCTATTCAGCACTGTACTACTTTAGTTGGCAATTGCACGGTCATGCAACACTGTATCTAAATTATATTTGTATCATTTTTTTCCAAACAAATAGAGATTTCTTTTGGTGGTACTGGGTGGTACTACTGGGGTTTTAATTTGTTTGCTAAATTAACAAAAAAAGACTGAAATTTTAATTTATTAATCTTTCTTCATAAATTTAGGCCAAAATATATTCTCCTACATTCTTTGGTGAAGAATTGAGCTTTCTTTTGGTGGTATTTGATCAACACTAGGTTTTTTTCTTATTATACAAATGAAAAAAGACTGACCATTTCTAAAAAAACTGAAAAAAAAAAAGCACAATGTAAAAGTTTGCAAACTAATAATTTTTCCTCATAAATGTAGGTTAAAATGTATTCTGCTACATTTCTTTGGTAAAAAAATAACCCAAATCAGTGTATATTATTCAGTCTGTGTGAACGTTAGTCTACAAACTATGGTATATATATTTGTAAATCAATCAGTCCGGATGTATTTATGGATGCCCTAACATGCCAGGACAGTACAAATACCCCCCAAATGGCCTCTTTTTGGAAAGTAGACATTCCAAGGAATTTAGTAACAGGCATGGCAAGTGTTGTGAAGTTGTACTTTTTTTGTCACTTTTTTTTTGGAATAGTTTTACTCAGTTTTTTTTTTTTACATACTGTCACCAGTACATCATAGGACTGGTGTGGCAGTGATCAGGGACACTGACTGGTGGCAGTATGTTAAAAATAATAATAATTTGTATTTAATTTTTAAAAATTGTTTTTTTTTTTTTAAGATTTGCATTTAATATATTTTTTACATACTGTCATCAGAGTAGTTCAGTGTCAACAGAGTAAAGGGGGCTGAATACAAATGCACACCACACTTTTTAGATATTTATTTGTAAAAAAGCTTGAAAACCATTTATCATTTTCCTTCCACTTCACAATTATGTGCAACTTTGTGTTGGTCTATCACATAAAATCCCAATAAAATACATTTACGTTTTTTGGTTGTAACATGACAAAATGTGGAACATTTCAATGGGTATGAATACTTTTTCAAGGCACTGTATCCAGCCTGCATAAATATGTTATCCAACAAAAATGTTATAAATAGAATTTTAAAAAAAAAATTAAAAAATTTTACAAATGGTGTACACATATAGCAAGTACATTGTTTTTTGCATTCTGGAAGTCATTAACTGGGTTACCTCTTGCAGGTACAGGCTGTGCGCCTTGTTTACAGCCTCCAGATTGCTCAGTTTGGTGATCCCCTCTCTGTCCAGTCTCACCGTTTGCAGGCATTGTAATTCTGAAGACCTGGAAAGACATGCACAGACTCAATTTTCTTTTTAGATGAAGAAGTGAAAGAGATCCACTTAATGTACACAACATTATTAGATATTTTCTATGTACTGATATATTTCCATGGGGGCAGCTGTGTTGCAACATGTTCTGTGAATGGAGGAGGGGCAGGTGAATGATAGGAAGTCCCCTGCCCATTAACAAAACATTCTGGGAGATTACTGGGGCAGGAAGAGGAGGACAAGTGATACAACCCACATGGAAGAAAATATATATGAAATATATTTTACAACTATTCTTCCCAAATATATTGACATACATTTGAAATGCTACAATTTTTTGCCATATTCAATATGTTTAAACAAAAAAATTAAATATTAATATATATATATATATATATATATATATATATATATATACATACATATATATACACAAAATATATACACATATATACACATATACATACACACACACACTGCATGTTGAAATGCGTTTTTATTTCAAATTATATGAAAAATATTTTTAAACAGACATTTCAAATATACTGTATGTCTTTAAAAATACAAATCTACAGTTTTGGAATGCATTTTTACAAATATATGTAAAAATATATGTTAAAATAAAACTTTTTTATGTTAAAAAAAAAATCTGAAGAATATATTTAAAAAATATATATGTTTAAAAAATATATTTTTTTAAATATATTCTTCAGATTTTTTTTTAACATACAGTTGCAAGAAAAAGTATTGAACCCCTTGGGATTACGTGGAGTTTTGCATGAATTGGGCATAAAATGTGCTCTGAATGTCATCTAAGTCACAACAATAGAAGAACACAGTCTGCTGAACATAATACTACAAAAACATTAGATTTGCCATGGTTTAATTGCACATAACATGTAAACATTCACAGTGCACGGAGGAAAAAGTATGTGAGGCCCTAGCTTAATAACTTCTCCCAGAAGCTAATTGGAGCCAGGAGTGAGCCAACCTTGACTCCAATCAGTGTGATGATATTGGATGTGTTGCTGACAGCTGTCCTGCCTTAAAAAACACACACCTGTTTTGGGTTTTACTAGTTTCAAGAAAGCACTGTCTGATGTGAACCATGCCTCGCAGAAAAGAGCTCTCAGAAGACCTACAATCAAGAATTGTTGACTTGCATGAAGCTGGAAAGGGTTACAAAAGTATCTCCAAAAGCCTTGATGTTCATGTGTTTAAGACAGACTGTCTAGAAGAAATGGAGAAAGTTTAGCACTGTTGCTACTCTCCCTAGGTGTGGCCGTCCTGTAAAAATGACTGCAAGAGCACAGCGCAGAATGCTGCATGAGGTAAAAGAACTGATAATCCCAGAGTGTCAGCTAAAGACCTACAGAAATCTCTGGCACATGCTAACATTTTTTGTTGACACAAGCTACAATAAGGAAAACATTAAACAAGAATGGAGTACTTGGGAGGACAACCACGGAGGAAGCCATTGCTGTCCAAAAAGAATATTGCAGCACGTTTGAAGTTTGCAAAAGAGCACCTGGATGTTCCACAGCACTACTGGCAGAATATACTGTGGACAGAGGAAACAAAGATTGAGTTGTTTGGGAAGAACACACAACACTATGTGTGGAGGAAAAAAGGCACAGCACACCAACATCAAAACCTCAATCCCCACTGTGAAACATGGCGGAGGGGAGCATCATGGTTTGGGCTGCTGCTTTGCTGCCTCAGAGCCTGGACGGATTGTTATCATTGATGGGAAAATGAATTCCAGAGTTTATCAAGACATTTTGCAGGAAAACGTACGACCATCTGTCCGCCAACTGAAGCTCCGCAGAGGATGGGGTGATGCAACAGGACAATGACCCAAAGCATACAATAATTCAACAAAACAATGGCTGCAACAGCACAGATACGCCTTCTGGAGTGAGTGCCCAGTCAGAGTCCTGACCTCAACCCGATTGAAATGCTGTGGCATGACCTTAAGAGAGCGATTCACACCAGACATCCCAAGAATATTGCTACACTGAAACAGTTTTTGTGAAGAGGAGTGGTCCAAAATTACTCCAGATCGTTGTGCAGGTCTGATCTGCAACTACAGGAAACGTTTGGTTGAGGTTATTGCTGCCATAGGAGGGTCAACCAGTTATTAAGTCTAAAGGTTCACATACTTTTTCCTTCCTGCACTGTGAATGTTTACATGTTATGTGCAATTAAACCATGGCAACATCTAATGTTTGTGTTAGTATTATGTTCAGCAGACTGTGTTCTTCTATTGTTGTCACTTAGATGACGTTCAGAGCACATTTTATGCCCAATTCATGCAAAACTCCACGTAATCCCAAGGGGGTTCACATACTTTTTCTTGCAACTGTATAAAAAAGTCATTTTTAACATATATTTGTAAATGCATTCCAAAAATGTAGATTTGTATTTTTAAAGACACACAGTATATTTGAAGTGTATATTAAAAAAAAGTTTCCTATATTTTGTAATAAAAACGCATTTCAACATGCAGTGTGTATATACTGTATATATATATTGAAATATATTGAATATGGCCAAAATTGTAGCATTTCAAATATATTTGGGAAGAATATTTTAAAAATATATTTCAAATATATTTTTCCTTTCCATATGGGAAGCTTTTCTCATTTGCAGCTGCGGCTATTAACCCCATGCAGTGCCTCTGTCCCAGAACATGAGATACACATCAATAGAGGCGCATTGTCACACTGATGTTGTATGCCCAAAAAAGTTTTACTAAATGTAATTTTTTTTAAAGCTGGATTCCGGGTATCCTTTTTTTTCCTGCTTTGTTACATAGTCCACTTTGAACCATTGTAAGTAGACATATTCCATACCTGGCCAATCCCTGTGGTAGTTGCTGCTACTACAAGGATCCTTGCTATCTTCCATGTGCTATGCCAAGCGGCTGCTCTGCTGCTTGGTGAACAAATGGGGAGGGGGGGGGGGGGGGGGGGGCGCTTGCGTTTGCTGGTGCGTGCAGAACACCTTGAATTTTTTTTTTCAATGAATACAAGGTGTCCTCTGATTGGTAGAGGTGGAGACTGTGGCGTCACCCCATGACCTCGCCACCTTCAATTATAGAACGTTAACATTCATCTGAATTTTTTTTTTTTTAATTTTTGAGCTAATAGGAAAGAATGACGGTTCTGTTCATATAGTTCGACTTGAATGCCAGAGAGTGTAAATTCACATCATAGTTGCACTACATGAACAGAACCGTCATACTTTCCCATTAGCTCAAAAAAAAAAACACAAACAAACAATGGGAGGTCCTGTTCACTGTTATCATTACAAATTAGAGTAAAAGAAAATCCCAAGGAACACATGAACAGGAATGGAGAGGAAACCTTCCAATGGGGACACTAGTTCTGGTAACAAGCATGGATTCCCTCTCACTGCCTGTTTTAGTTATGAGGCAGGAAGTGAAGGAAAGTCTCTGCAATGGGACACAGATGCTGACAGGGGTTCTAACCCTTCCTTATTCTATCCAAAATAATAACATGTTTGGCCTTTGGCTGCTTCCCGACCGCCCTATAGCAGAGCTACTACTACTATATATACGTGATTTTGTACTTCCGATTAGGGGGTGCGCGTGCCCTACCTGCACCGCCATTGGTGGCTTCAGCTTCGGTCATCGGGTCCTGGCTGGTGATTCCCCGCTGGCACCTGGAGATTGCAGAGTATCACTGACGGGGGAGAGGTCTGTATGTAAACAATACAGATCTCTCCCCTTTCAGCTCCAGCATGCTGCTTTGTATGGCTCTGCATAGCATAGCCATACAAAGCAGTGTGCTTGCAGTGACGCACACACACAGCACACAGTTAACCCTTTGATCACCCCAGATGTTAACCCCTTCCTGCGCAGTGCCATTAGTACAGTGTCAGTGCTTTTATTAGAACTAATTACTGTATTAGTGTCATTGGGATGTCAGTGACAGTTAGTCAGTTCCCCCCCAGTGTCAGAATGCCCGACGGAGTCCTGCAATAAGTCGCTGATCGCTTGCCATTACTAGTATAAAAAGTAAATTAAAAAAAATCCCAGTATACATACCGCCATTTGTAAACGCTATAACTTTCACGTAAAACAATTAATTTACATGTATTGGGATTTTTTTTTAGCAAAGACATGGAGCAGAATACATTTTGGCCTAAATTCATGATGAAATTTTACTTTTTACATTTTTTTTTACTGAACATGTTTTATAGCAAAAAGTCAAATATATTGTTTTTATTTCAAAATTGTCTTTTTTTGTCTTTTTTTGTTTATAGCGCAAAAAATAAAAACCACACAGGTGATCAAATACCACCAAAAGAAACCTCCATTTGTGGGGAAAAAAATGACGTAAATTTCAGTTGGGTGAAGCATTTTTAATTTTTTTACTGGATATGTTTTACAGCACAAAATCAAAAATATTGTTTTTTTATTTCAAAATTGTCAGTTTTTCTTTGTTTATAAAGTAAAAAATAAAAAACACACAGGTGATCAAATACCACCAAAAGAAAGCTCCAATTGTAGCAAAAAAAGGCCATAAATCTCATTTGGCTGCAACATTGCATGACCGCGCAATTGTCCATTGAAGTAATGCAGCCCTGTATCGCAAAAAATGGCCTGGTCAGGAAGGGGGTAAATCCGCTGGAGGGCAAGTGGTTAGGTAGACTTTAAAGTGGACCTGTAGTGTGGCCAGCATGTGTACATCACTGGTTCACTGTGATCAGATTCCTGCTGTAATGCACAAAACTGGAGCACTCCGAATCTGGTGCAGCTGCACATGGCAGCCAATCAGCTTCTGGCTTCAGCTTTGTTCAGTTAAGCTTTGGCAATAAAACCTGGCAGCTGATTGGTTACTATGCACAACTGCACCAGATGTTGCCCTCTCCAGGTTTAGTAAATATCCCCCATAGACTGGGAAGGCCGAGTGCACTCACAAGTCGTCCTGTGTGGCTTCATGTATGGTGGGGGTGGCATTCCTCCTGAGGATGGCGGCCAGGATCGGCGGTGTGTCCCCGTTCCCCCTGTCTGTAGAAGAGGAGTAGACGATCAGTCAGGGTACACTCTCCTATACACGGTCCCTGGGTAGGAACCAGGGGCGGACTGAGAACTCATGGGGCCCCCGGGCAGTAGGGGATCATGGGGCCCGTGTCCTTGCCCACACTCAAAAAAAGCCTATAAAAAGGTACCAGGCCCATTTCATGGGGCAGTGCCCGAGAGCTCGAATGGTCAGTCCGCCCCTGGTAGGAACCACTCACCTCCAGACATCCTGGATCGCTCGCTGTAAATGTTCTCTTCTTTGACTTCTCGGCGCGTCCTCAGTTGCTAGGATACGGCCGGCTCCCGTCATCCCGTGCGCCTGCTCTCTCAGCGACTTCCGGGAAGATGGCGGCTGCGGCCTTGGTGAGGTCGGTGGCCCGGCAGTTAGGTGAGGACGGAGGTCACGTGAGCGGTGGCGGGTGTGCCGATGATATTGGGGTGTTGGTGCATGTTCTGTTCCTCTAGGGTGTGTGTAGTATGGGGTAGAGCGTCACCTGTGGGGTAATGGCTGGCAGTACATGGCATTGTATGGGCTCCAGCCTGAACTCTCCTCCTCATGACAGGCCCCATTCACACTGTCACCTCTGCCCTACAGACATAGAGCAACGCTTTTATTTCAATGGCATGCCCCAAGAACACCATTTTCTTTCTTTTGAGCGTCTTGTTTTTTGCGTTTGGGGTGCCATTAACCACTGCAGACGGAAAACATGTTTTCAGCACAGTTCGTGAATGCGCACTTAGGCTCCAATCTACGCAGGCACAGCGGTGCGCTTAATTTTCCGCAATTTTGCTCATCGCGTTTAAGGCGTTTCTCTTCACCTAGGGACAGAAATCGCACAAAAGGAGTCTGACCTGCCCAACCCCCCCCCCCCCCCCTTTTTTTATTTTGTATATATTGTGCCACACTAAAACACCTGACAGATCTTAACCACTTGCCCTCCATAGAAATTCCCCCCCCCCCCCCCCCCCGAGCAGGCCATTTTTTTTTGCGTTACTTTAACTGACAAATGCGCGGTCATGCAACGCTGCACCCAAATGTGGTATTTGATTACCTGTGCGTTTTTTATTTTTTGTGCTATAAACAAAAAAAAGACCAACAATTTTGAAAAAAAAAACAAAAGAATATTTTTGAATTTTTGCTATTAGACATATCCAGTAAAAAAAAAAATCAAATTACATCATAAATTGGGGGCCAAAATATATTCTGCGACACGTCTTTGCTAAATAAAGTCCCAATACGTGTAAAGGAATTGGTTTATGTGAAAGCTATTGCGTCTACGAATGGCGGTATAGATCCTGGAAATTTTTTTATTTTTTTTTTATACTAGTAATGGCGGCGATAAGCGACTTATAGCGGTGGGCATTCTGACACCGGTGGGGGACTGACTTAACTGTGACTAGCTGCCACTGACATGCCAATAAAAAGCACTGACACTGTACTAATGACACTGGGCAGGAAGGGGTTGACATCTGGGGCAGGGATAGTTTTTTTGCTACCTTTAGCCCTGGTTCACACTGATGTGGTGTGGAATTCGCAGCGTTTTCTGTGGAATTTGCAGCGTTTTATGTGAAATTCCGCACCGCATCAGAATCGCAGCCCGTTCATGCGAACCGCTGCGGGTGTGTATGTTAACAAGACCCTGAAATCGGTCCGCAAAACGCGGTGCAATGTGCAGAATCAGATCGCATAGGTTTGAATACCCATGCGATCCGATTCTAGTGCGGACCAAAAAAAAATGTTTTTGGTGTGGTGCAATTAGCGCCATGCATAATGTACGGCTCCAATCACACCGCACACAATTCGCATGTGATTTGCACAGGAATGCGGTGAGGTTCCTGTGCGGTGTCACATGCGATTTACGGCACTGCATATATGTGAACTCAAGCAGCAGGGCTCACCTGTCAGGTGGAAGTATTCGGGCGGCAGCGATGCCGCCCAAATGCTTCCACACAGTGCCAGCCTCTCCCCCCCCCCCCCCCCCCCCCCCCCCGTGCGAAGCTGCCCCCACCCACGGTCTCCCGGGCTCCGCTTGCACATCTGTGGGACACGTCCTCTCCCCTCCCCTGCTTGTCCCCATTTACAGATTCCTGGCAATTGAGGCCTGCCGGGAAAAAATGTAATGCGGTGCGATGTGCACTGCATTATATTCAGGGGAGCACACGGGAGACATGCAGGGTCTTTTACACCTTGGATGTCTCAATAAAGAGAACCTGTCACCAAAAAAATCACATAGAGGACATTGTCCTGTATGTGATGTAAAAAGAAAAGAAAAAGTTTTTTGTTATAAATTGTAAAAAGTTAATGTTACACCCAAGCACATAATATCCCCCCCAAAATAAATTGAGCCCCCCGCGTATACTCACATACAAACATAAAAACACATGCTAGGGCTCCTACGCATGAAAACATCAATTGCAATGCACATGTTACATATCGCCGCGCACTCCAGAATGAGAGCAATAATTCTAGCACCAGACCACTTGCCCTCCAGAGGATTTACCCCCCTTCATGACCAGGCCATTTTTTGCGTTACGGCGCTGTGTTACTTTGACGATTGCACGGTCATGCAACGCTGCACCCAAATGAAATTTACGTCCTCTTTTTCTCATGAATTGAGCTTTCTTTTGGTGGTATTTGATCGTCTGTACATTTTTTTATTTTTTGCGCTATAACAAAAAAAAGACCGACAATTGAAAAAAAAAAAAAAAAAATAAAACAATATTTTTGCTATAAAACATATCCAATAACATTTTTACAATTTTGAGAAAAAAAACCTATATTTTGGAGATTTTGCTATTAAACATGTCCAGTAAAAATTTTTTAAAAATCTAATAAATTTAGGCCAACATGTATTCTGCAACATGTCTTTGCTAAAAAAAAATCCCAATACGTGTAAATTAATTGGTTTACATGAAAGTTATAGTGTTTACAAATGGCGATTTAGATAATGAGATTTTTTTTTTCTCCCCCTACCAGTAATGACGGCGATCAGTGACTTTTAGCGGGACTGCGGCAGACATTCTGATACGGGGGGGGGAACTAACTTGGTGTCACTGACACCCCAGTGACACCAATACAGTGATCAGTGCTAAAACAAAAAGTACTGACACTGTTCTAATGGCACTGGGCAGGAAGGGGTTAATGCGAGGGGCACTGGGAGTGTTTCAGTAGGGGGCAGGGGTGTTCTTCACTGTAAGCACACCTATCGGGATGGCTGTACTGTGCACAGCCATCCCAAGCAGTGTATTTGAGCTGACAGGGAGGAAGATTGTTTGTAAACAAAACAATCTTCCTCCTCATTGGTGATCACTGGTAATTACCAGTGATTGACATCCGTGGCCGCGAATGGCGGCACGGGTAGGGCGTGCGGCTGCACCCCCTAACTGGAAATGCAAAATAACTTATGTATACGTGATTCTGCGCACAGGTGCTGCCCTGTATATCTGCTCTATAGGGCGGTCCTTAAGTGGTTAAAAGCATCACCTATAGAAAATATAGGGCACTGAAGTTCGTCGCCATTTCATGAGCGCACGCAAATTTAAGGTTTGACAAGTTGGATATCTATTTACTCACTGCAACCTCATCTTTTATATTTTACAAAAAAATAGGGTAATCTATTGCTTTTTTTTGTGCCCTAAAATTAGCTAACTTGTATTTTTTACTAACATTTTGCGGTAATATCAAATTGATCAACTTGGGTACAACCAGCCTACCGGATTTTGCATGTGATTATCGCTAGCAGTTGGTATAGCTACTAGCAGTAATCACTGTCTTCTGGCGGGGACAGCTTTCCCCGCCCTGCTTCCCCCTTCCTGCTGGGACAAACACAATGGATTTTGAATATCATAATGAACATTTCCGTCCTGCAGCTGCTGAATGGGGAGGATCGGTTCCTGTATATGCCACCCCCTCCTGTTCAACTGTAAAACAGAATGTGACAGGAAGGCCACACGGGCCCCCTTGGAGCATGGGGCGGGGTCACCATTGCCACCCCTGATGTTACACCAGTGGTTGGGGGGGTAAAAACACATCTCAACTGTGGAGTCTTACTGCCCCCAAACTGCAAATGTAAATGAGCCCTTACTGTCCTGAGCCCCCTATAAGGCTGCTTTCTCACTGATACTCTGCTCTTTACCCACACCGCAGGTGCAGTCAGTGCAGCAGAGGGTTAGCTGCGTTTTGCTGTATACTTCTATAATATCTTGCAGGTGTGGTGCAATTTCTGAAAGTGCACCAAACCAGCAGGATATCAAATTTAAATATACTTCCCTGGTTTGAGGTCAAGGGCCACATCAGAGGGCTCTGAGGGCCACAGGTTGAGCACCCCTGATTTAAATCAAAAGGGTATGGTCAAACCTCCCACAGATACTTTACTTGGAGATATACAGTGTAAATATTAAGCATTAGCAGTTACATTTTGGGTTGAGTTAACACCATACATCCCAAATCCCAACTCCTATGTCTGTATATTATTTTTTACACATGGGAGGATCTGTTCATAGCGTTGATCATAGGGATTGAAGGCAAAGTTCCTGTGGTTAGCTTTATTTATACATTAACATGTTCACTCATTCAGATTCAGATATGTGTCTGCTCCAACCATTTAGACCTCATGCAAGCTTGGCATTTAGTGCCTGTGGATGAGATCTCAGCATTTTTTGCTCCAGTGCACCATCCAGCACCACTGTCAGATTTTTACTGACTGACATTTTCAGGAATCTGAAACGTTTCCTTTTTTATTTTTCCATTTGTCTTCCCCTGTATCTGTTACCCTCTCTCAGTGGCTAGCATTGGTTACATGTAAACTCTAGTTTTCCAACTAAAACCCTCTTTACTTTGCAGTGGCTACAACCTTGTTTAATGAATTATTAACAGTATACTTTTTTTTTTTTTCTCCTCAGCCTGGCTTCCGTCCTTGCAGTGCGTCCGCCATGGCTCCAAAGCAGTTACCCGTCATAAGAAGGCTATGCACTTTGAGAGGCAAAAGATTATGGCACTTACAAAGTATATCCCACCTAAACCCTCCAACGACAAGTGTTTCAAGCCAAAGCTTAAACCGGAAGACACTGAAAAGGTAATAGTAAACTATAAAAAGATCATCAGACAGGTATGTAAAAATGATGCATTAGTTTTCAGCCCAAGGAACCTTGGTGTAAGGATCTCTGAAACAAGCTCCAATATGAATAGTGCAGTGCCTACCTTCTTCATTTGAGACCCTCACCCTTAACTTTTCCTTTTTAATGCAAGCCCTAACACTCCCCTTACCATCCTGCTTCCCCAGCTCTAAAGATGGTCATGCACTAATTGAAGTTTGGCCTGTCCGGCAGGGACCGGCTAAAGTTCATCAGTGTGTGGAGTTCCACACCTGACAGAAGTCAATTGTTCAATCAATTTCTTTTCGAAGGGACATTTTGGAAATTTTTCCATCGATCAGTCACAGCCAATCAGCTGCAGCCACTGATCAGTGTATTCTCACATTGGCAGGTCCCGCTGTCATAATACAATGTCTCTGTAGGGGGATGGGAAATCCTTCCAAATCATTTATTGAGGAATTTTGGGTGGTTTTTTTTTTTTTTTGTTTTTTTTTTTTTTTTTTTATTGTTCAGCCTGTTGGCTAAACAAAACTTACTGTGTAGGGTCAGCTTAACTCATAACCAATCACAAAGCCGTTTATAACACTGCCTCAAATGACATCACCAATCTTGTCTCTAAATATCACCCAAACCATACTCTCCGCTCCTCGCAAGACCTCCTACTCTCTAGCTCCCATGTCTCCTCCTCCCGTGCTCGTCTCTAGGACTTCTCCAGGGCGTCCCCCATCCTCTGGAACTCCCTACTCCAATCTTTCAGACGATCGCCTACTCTGCTCACTTTTAGGCGCACTCTGAAAACCCATCTCTTCAGGGAAGCCTACCCCCCCTCAGCTAATACTGGAATCCTCTACTCTTCCAACACTGCATCCCCCACAGTTATTACCTTTTTGTACTACTATCCCCTCCCTCCTAGATTGTAAGCTCCAAGGAGCAGGGCCCTCAAATCCCTCTTGTATTGAACTGTATTGTTACTGTATTGTCTCCCACCATAATGTAAAGCGCTGAGCAAAATGTCAGTGCTATATAAATCCTGTATAATAATAATCACATAAAATGAGCCTCACACTAACCTAAATCCTCAGCTTAGGCAGAAGAAGCCACTTTGGTAAAATTACCCTTTAGACTAGCAGTTAGGAAGGTGTTAAAAACATGCGGTTGAGTAATTTTTAGTGCCACCCGACTATCTAGGTGGAGGAACGTGACTGGACTGCAGAGAGTCCTGACTTCAACCCGATAACCTTTGGGATGAATTAGAGTGAAGAGATTGCGACCCAGGCCTCCTCGCCCGACATCAGTTCCTGACCTCAAAAATGTGTTTCTGGAAAAATGGTCAAACACTCCCATAGACACACTCCTAAACCTTGTGGACAGCTTTCCCAGAAGAGTTGAAGCTGTTATAGCTGCAATGGATGGGCCAACTCAATATTGAACCCTACGGACTAAGACTAGGATGCCATTAAAGTTCATGTGTGTGTAAAGGCAGGCCAACCAATACTTTTGGCAATATAGTGTACATAAAGAGCTGTGTAAATTGTTGGTGCTATAGAAGTACCTGTAATAATTAATGTCTAAACCTAGCCTTAGGGTCTTTTCACACTATTTTTCCCTTCCCTGTCTTTCAGGACAGCACCTTGAGAGATCTCAGCTGAGGAAACACCTCCATCCAGAATAAAACTATGGCCTCCCCATTCCGACCTCAGTAACGGTGTTTACTCTGGTGGGGACAGGGAGGGAGAGGTGCTGCTGCCCCACAATGTGCCGGCAATTGAGGCCGGGCCGGGGGACGTCACTTCTGGTGGAGGGGATGGGACTTCATCCTGGGACGTGGCTTCCGGCGGAGCTTAGCGTTGTCATAGGGCTGCATCCTGCAGAGGCAGGTGACGCAGTTCCCAGTTCTCTTCATCTAAGGGGAGTCTCGCTGGTGGCTTACCTGGACAATCTCCTATTGTTTGCAGACTCAGAGGAACAGCTGTCGCGGGACATAACCTTGGTAATGAGACACCTGGAAAATTTAGGCTGGCTAATAAACTTATCCAAGTCGAATTTGGTCCCGGCCCAAAGGATGGTGTACCTGGGCTACGAACTGGATTCCTCCCTTCAGAAAACCTTTCTACCCCAGGAGAAAATCCTAAAGTTAGACAGGAGAATCAGGCAGCTGCTAGGGAACCAAGCTGTGTCCCTTAGAGAATTCATGTCAGTGTTGGGCCTGCTAATTTCATCCATCCTGGCAGTACAGTGGACAGATTTGCATTTGTGGCCCCTCCAGCTGTTCATTCTGGACGTCTGGGATCGCTGGCAGGAGTCTTTAGATTCCTTGATACAGGTACTCTCTGGTGGTGGAGGAGGTCAGCCAACTTGGCCCAGGGGCTGTTCTGGGCCTTTCCCATCTCCAGGGACGTTGCGACGGATGCGAGCGCCAGAGGTTGGGGAGCACACCTAGAGGAGTCCATTGCGCAGGGTTCTTGGCTACCAGAAGAGAGGAACAGATCCTCGAACTGAAAAGAACTCAAAGCAGTGTCAACACATGCGGATCCTCTCGGACAACTCCTCCGTTGTGGCGTATGTCAACAGACAGGGAGGGACTCAAAGCAAGTCTCTGTGAGAGTGAGTTGGAAGCACTATCAATCAGGGCCCACTTCCTCCAGATTTTTGCGGATAGGGTAACGTTTAGGACAGACCCGGCCTTCTTACCCAAGATAGCCCTTGAGATTTCATAGAGGCCAAGAAATTACTGTACCTTCTTTTTGTTCTAACCCCTCATGTGACCAGGAAAGGAAATTTCACACGTTGGATGTTAGGAGGTGTTCTTTATTTAGGTAGAACTAAAGTATTCAGGAAGTCAGATTCCCTTTTCAGGAGCAAGCAAGGGTTGTAAAGCCTCTAGGTCGCTAAGACTGGCAATTAGACAGGCATACCTGACCGAGGGTCTGGAAGTCCCGGAGTGCATCGTGGCGCATTCCACCCGGGCCATGGCGGCCACATACGCTGAGCTGGCTGGTGCAACCCCAGGACAGATCTGTGGGGCTGCTACCTGGTGCAATTACAACACCTTTGTTAAGCATTACAAACTTGACCTGGTCTCTGTAGAGGAGCAGGTCTTTGGATGCAAGGTTCTACAAGCGGTGGTCCCATCCTTGGGGTGAGTGGTCGCCTATCCTCTCAAGGTGCTTTCCTGAAAGACGAGGAAGGGAAAAAGCAAAGTTACACTTACGGTAACACCTTTTTCAGCAGTCTTTCAGGACAGCGCCAGTTACCCACTCATTTTTAGCATTTGGTTATACGGTATAGGTTTTTTTTTTTTGTGCCTTGTATTGTGTCTCCCCAAGTGACTGGAGGTGCTAAGTCGTGAACTGAGGTTGGAGTGGGAGGCTGTACTTTTATTCTGGGTGGAGGTGTTTCCTCAGGTGGGGAGGAGCCGAGGTCTATCAAGTTGCTGTCCTGAAAGACTCCAGGAAAAGGCGTTACCGTAAGTGTAACTGTTTTTTTTTTTTTTTTTGCTACAAAAAACGGATGGATACATCACTTTGTGCATCTGTCTTTGGTTCAGTTTGCATCAATTTGTACCTATTTTTTAATTTTTTTTTTTTTCTAGCTGCTGTTGTATGCACAAAAAAAAAGTATTTCTTGCCTAAAAATGGACATAAGCAGAACAGAACGGCATCTGTTTACATCCACTCAGATCCATCTAAGACAAAACTCTGGCTCTGGATGGACATGGATATAGGCGGATAAAAACATGATCATTTGCTTACATCCATAAGCACATAGGAATAAATTGCTGTTTGTTTTTCATCCAACAATGAACAGGTAAAAAAATGGACAAATTGAACACCCGTGGGAAGGGGGCACTTAGTCTACTTTTGTATTCTTTAAGGCAGCGGTTCTCAACCTGGGGGTCGCGACCCCTTTGGGGGTCGAACGACCATTTCACAGGGGTCGCCTAAGACCATCGGAAAACACATATTTCCGATGGTCTTAGGAACCGAGACACCGCTCCTGTCTCAGGCGATGTGTGGGCGGGATGATATGCTGCTCCTGTCACCTGGCCACACCTCCAGGATCACTCAACAGCTCCGCCTCCTCGCCGCTGATTGGCCACCGGAACTGTAGCTCAGGAGAGGCACACACAGGCGGCCAATCACCGGCGAGGAGGTGGAGCTTGGAGAGGAGGAGCCGAGCGGCAGCCCGCGGAGATCAAAGAAGATCGAGGGAGCTGCAGGAGCAAGTGAAGAGAGAGGCCAGAGAAGGAAGACAGCTGACAGGTTAGTGCAAATTTTGCTGCTGCAGCCAGGTATGCAGGCTGTAGATGGGAGAGGGAGCGAGCCCAGGCTGGAGCAGGAGTCAGCAAGGTAAGTATCATTGGTGTCAGTGGGAGGGATAGTGCCCCATCATTTGTGTCACTAATACCAGCGATGGGGCACTATTCCTCCCCCCACTGACACCAACGATGGGGCACTATTCCTCCCCCCACTGACACCAACGATGGGGCACTATTCCTCCCCCCACTGACACCAACGATGGGGCACTATTCCCCCCCCACTGACACCAAGAATGGGGCACTATTCCACCCCCCACCGACACCAACGATGGGACACTATTCCCCCCCCCCCCACTGACACCAATGATGGGTCACTATCCCCCCCTGACCCCAATGATGGGGCACTATTCCCCCCTCCACCACACTGACATCAATGATGGGGCACTATTCCTCCCACTGACACCAATGATGGGGCACTATTCCTCCCACTGACACCAATGATGGGGCACTATTCCCACTGACACCAATGATGGGGCACTATTCCCACTGACACCAATGATGGGGCACTATTCCCACTGACACCAATGATGGGGCACTATTCCTCCCACTGACACCAATGATGAGGCACTATTCCTCCCACTGACACCCACAATGGGGCACTATTCCTCCCACTGACACCCACAATGGGGCACTATTCCTCCCAATGACACCCACAATGGGGCACTATTCCTCCCACTGACACCCACAATGGGGCACTATTCCTCCCACTGACACCCACAATGGGGCACTATTCTCCCACTGACACCCCACAATGGGGCACTATTCCTCCCACTGACACCCACAATGGGGCACTATTCCTCCCACTGACGCCAATGATTGTACACTATTCCTCCCACTGACGCCAATGATTGGGCACTATTCCTCCCACTGACGCCAATGATTGGGCACTATTCCTCCCACTGATGCCAATGATTGTACACTATTCCTCCCACTGACACCAATGATGGGGCACTATTCCCCCCCACTGACACCAATGATGGGGCACTATTCCCCCCCACTGACACCAATGATGGGGCACTATTCCTCCCACTGACACCAATGATGGGGCACTATTCCTCCCACTGACACAAATGATGGGACACTATTCCTCCCACAGACACCAATGATGGGACACTATTCCTCCCACAGACACCAATGTTGGGGCACTATTCCTCCCACTGATACCAATGATGGGGCACTATTCCTCCCACTGACACAAATGATGGGACACTATTCCTCCCACTGATACCAATGATGGGACACTATTCCTCCCACTGACACCAATGATGGGGCACTATTCCCCCCACTGACACCAATGATGGGGCACTATTCCCCCCACTGACACCAATGATGGGGCACTATTCCTCCCACTGACACCAATGATGGGGCACTATTCCTCCCACTGACACCAATGATGGGACACTATTCCTCCCACAGACACCAATGATGGGACACTATTCCTCCCACAGACACCAATGTTGGGGCACTATTCCTCCCACTGATACCAATGATGGGGCACTATTCCTCCCACTGATACCAATGTTGGGGCACTATTCCTCCCACTGACACACAAATGATGGGGCACTATTCCTCCCACTGATACCAATGATGGGGCACTATTCCTCCCACTGATACCAACGATGGGACACTATTCATCCCACTGACATCAGTGATGGGGCGCTATTCCTCCCACTGACACCAATGATGGGGCGCTATTCCTCCCACTGACACCAATGATGGGACACTATTCCTCCCACAGACACCAATGTTGGGGCACTATTCCTCCCACTGATACCAATGATGGGGCACTATTCCTCCCACTGACACAAATGATGGGGCACTATTCCTCCCCACTGATACCAATGATGGGGCACTATTCCTCCCACTGATACCAACGATGGGGCACTATTCCTCCCACTGATACCAACGATGGGGACACTATTCATCCCACTGACATCAGTGATGGGGCGCTAGTCCTCCCACTGCAAAATTACAGTTATGAAGTAGCAACGAAAATAATTTTATGGTTGAGGGTCACCACAACATGAGGAACTGTATTAAGGGGTCGCGGCATTAGAAAGGTTGAGAACCACTGCTTTAAGGTGTCATGAATACCAATGTAGACTAAGGGCCCCCTTCCCATGGGGGCCCTTGAGTCACCGTGGTGACAGGAGCAGCTTTGTTTTGGTTTCAAATAGAGCGGATAAGGATATGAACTCCTTTTCTTTTTTTCAGGCTCTCACTGTTGTCTGGGGCCTCGTTAGAGATCTACCCTCACTTCCTGTCCTGCTGACAACAGTTTCATTAGTTAAAAAGTGAACGAAAATCAGAGACTGACAAAAATACAAATGAAACAGGATTCTAACCTTCCCCTATTCTGATAAAGAAAATCATTTTTTGTCTGTGCTGCTGTTGAAGAGTTCCCCTAATTTCCTGTTTAATAAAATATTGTCAGCAGGATTACTCTGATAGAGTCCCAGATGGCATTTAAAAACTGATGTGGGTTCTAATGCTTAACCACTCTATCAAGAAAACATTTTTGGCTGGATATACACTTTAAAAAGTCATACAGCAAACTATTCCTTGCATGAAAATTAACAAGTCTTTGGTGTGCATCAGTGAGATTATTGCCTTAAATGCTTTTTTTCACCCTCTGTTGCAGACCCTTACAGTCTCTAATTCACACTTAGAGTCTATCATCTGACATCAAGTTAGAGTCTCATCTGACAGCACAGTTCTTGGCTTTGTTCACAAATAACTGACACAGACCAGCCCCCTGTTGCAGCCTCTAATTTTGTGACTTGTTAACAATGTTGCAATGTTGAGTTATCACTGGGTAGGGTGGACTGCAGCAGACTGATGGTATCAATTTATCCTAGGCAGTGTCATTCACCTGGAGCTCAAGAAATTCTTCCTTGCAACTTAACCGCTTCCCGACTGCCCTATAGCAAAAATACTGCTACAGGTCGGCACGGGTGCGCAAAATCATGAATATATACGTGATTTTGCATTTCCGGGTAGGGGGCACCCGATCCCTACCCGTGCTGCCATTCGCAGCCGCAGCTGTCAATCACTGGGTCCCGGCTGGTAATTACTCACCGGCGCCCAGTGATTTCCGAAGATCTCCAATGGGGAGGAGGACTGTTTTGTTTACTAACAATCCTCCTCCTTGTCCGCTCTGGCACACTGCCCTGGATGGCTGTGCACAGCACAGCCATCCAGAGCAGTGTGATTACAGTAAAGCACACTGACACAGCCCCCTAGTAAAACACTCCCTGCACACAGTTAACCCTTTGATCACCCCTCATGTTAATCCCTTCCTGCCCATTGCCATTAGTACAGTGTCAGTGCATTTTTTTTAGCACTGATCACTGTATTGGTTTCACTGGGGATGTCAGTGACATCAAGTCAGTTCCGCCAGTGTCAGAATGTTCGCCGCAGTCCCTCTATAAGTCGCTGATCACCGCCATTACTAGTAAAAATAAAAAATGAAAAAAAAAAATTACATTATATATACCACCATTTGTAGACGCTATAACTTCACGTAAACCAATTAATTTACACGTATTGGGATTTTTTTTAGCAAAGACGTAGCAGAATACATTTTGGTGTAAATTTATGACGAAATTAGATTTTAATTTTTTTTTTTTTACTGGACTTGTTTAAAAAATAAAAAATGTTTTTTTGTCAAAATTGTTAGTCTTTTTTTTCATAGTGCAAAAAAATAAAAACTGCACAGATGATCAAATACCACAGAAAGAAAGCTCAATTTGCGGGGAAAAAAGGGCGTAAATTTAATTTGGGTGCAGCGTTGCATGACCGCGCAATCGTCAGTCAGAAAATGGCCTGGTCAGGAAGGGGGGTAAATCCTCAGGAGGGCAAGTGGTTAAAAAAAAAAAGCAACAACCTCCCCCTGCCCTCCCGAAGTACTAGGTTGAATGATGGCTGGCAGCCAGGGAATCCTTTAAAGAATTAGTGCACTTAAAGCTAGAAGGCTCCCACTGCATTCCCATGCTCCACCCCTTTTCCTTATCATTGTTCGCTAGGACATAGGCAGTTGGGCTACACAGCATCATTGGTTGTTATGTTGCAAGCAGCCACCTGCACCATAACAACCAATGACACTATGTTGCCCAGCTGCCTGCATCCTAGCAACCAGTGGCACTGTGCAGTCTGGTCACCGGCATCCTAGCAATCAGTGATACTGTGCATCCTAGCACTGATGATGAAAAAGAGAGGATGGAAAAAGGGAACTGGCACTCCCCACTCCTTGTCATTTCTAGTGATGTTTCTTATGATGGGTGAGCACAAGGAGCCAGGGAAAAGTGTTGATAATCAAGACAAGTTGTTTTTCTTCTTTCTAGCTGCATTTTCATTGGTTTTAGGATGCAGCCTGGCCGCACAGTGCCCTATGTTGCTAGGATGCAGGCAGTCTGCCCACACATCACTGGTTGTTATAGTGCAGATGGCTGCCTACACCATAACATCCAATGACATTGTGTGGACTGACTGCCTGCATCCTAGCAACAAAGGGCACTGTGCAGCCCGGCTGCCTGCGTCCTAGCAACCAAGGATGCTGTACGGCTGGCCACTGATGTCCTTGCAACCAAATAGAATGGATGGAACAGAGCTCCTCCCTCTTCATTTCTATTGACAACGCCTCTAACAGTCAAGCGCATGTAGCCAGAGACAAGTGCCATCAATCAAGATTCATCAGTTATTTGTCTCCTTGCTAGCATTGTGGTCTGATAGTGGGGGGGGGGGGGTCAAATGTTCGCGAGACTTCTTTCAGCTTTACTTAAAGCCTCCTTAAACCTGCTGACAGTTTGTTTAAAGTGACAGCACTCCAATTAGGATCTGTGTTTCACATTCTTGAATTGCACCTTGAAGGCTTCAGCAAAAGTGCTCAAAGCTTATTGAAAGCTTTGGAAATGGATTGAAAAAGCTTGCTGAAAGATTCCTTAAAGCTTGCTGTACACACTGCACTGCATTCAAGACTTTTTATATACTCTTTAATTTGTAGAGATTACATTTCTTTTAGCCTAGTTGCAGGTATTTGTGTGATAAAGTGATGTGTGCTTTTTTTTTTTTTTTTTTAGGAGAACTTATACGAACAATTTCTGTATAACCAGCTAAGTGCGGTTTTCCAGGACAGTAAGATGATTGCAGTATTCCAGCGCAATTCAATCAGATCAGAAGACTTTTTACTTTTTCGACACAGACTATTCAAGCATAACGTTCATATTAAAATTTTTCCTAATCAGGTACTGATGAAAAATAAAATATTTACATGCAGTGTGGAAGGTGGGGAATATGGATTTGTGAACTTTGATTTTGTCCCTGTCCCCAGGTTGTTAAAAAGGTTCTGGTCCAGTTCCAACTCCAAGGCCTGCTGCCATTATTTATTGGACGTACCTTTCTAGTGGTGAGTCCCCAGCCAAAGGTGAAGGAGATGATACAGGCTGCAAGGGCAGTGCCACAAGTAGTGCTTTTAGGTGAGTGACCAGTAAATGTCTGATGGAATAACACTTTTGAGCATTTGAGGCTTTTGATAACACATTCAGTACACATTCTAGAGAACTTGGCCCAAACAAACTATTTAACCAGTTCAGCTCCAAAGAGTGAACCTTTAATCCCATGCTGATGGCTGCAGTAGCTTTTTGTTGAGCCGCCTCCTGGCCTGAAAGTGATGCGGCAGCTCCATAGCTGCTGATTACTGTCACAGAGCCGGCAGTGCAGTTCTTCCCACCGGCAGCCCCCTCCTCCTGTGGTTACTGGGTCTCCCGCTCTTACTGTAGCTGTGGACACAACCTCCGGCTAGGGGAAGGAGAGCACTGTGAGACCGAGGCAAATCCATGCCTCGATCTCACATGCAAACAGTGAAACCGGAAAAGAGATGCCACTTCCTGTGTCAGATGCACCATTTCCTGGCCAGTACAGCCAGGGGACACATCTAACCAAACCGATCTGTGTTTTGTTAGATGTTGTGAAGTTGCAAGGGAGACACTGGGGATTATTTGACCCCTAATATTTATTGACCCATTGTGATGGCAATCAAGTAAAAATAAAGAAAAAAAAAAAAAAAATATATATATATATAATTGCTGTAACCCCCATTGCTCCGTACACCTGCGCAAACACAATCCCAGGGTGTGCACATAGCACACGTATGACATGTTGCTGCGAACAATTCTAGCACAAGAGGTCCTAGTTAAAGCTAAATTGATAAGCTGCAAAGTCTTTTGAAGTGTCGCCTATGGTGATTTTTGGGCACCATAGGTTTTGGGTGCATGCAATTTTAAGACATGACCTTAGTATCTGTTGGCTTGTAGTTCTCAATGAACTACCGCTGCGCTGTAGTAGTTCAAAGATTCTTCCTGTCAGTATATCTGTTTGCCCGTACATCCCGTACGGACAAGCAGATATACTGACAGGTCTGCAGGAGACCTGCATGGCACCAGCGTTTAGCTGATCGCTGATGCAATGCTTTAGAGACTCCAGAAACAAAAAATAATAAATGCACATTTTTTTTTAAAAGATGAACTTATCCTTTAACTTTAATTTTAACACTGGATCAGAATAATGTGCAGTTTTGCAGTCAAGTTTACCGATACTCTGCATTTAAAAAAAAAAAAAATTTTAAAGATTAAAAAAACATAAAAAGATAATTTTCTACTGGTATATGTATGTACTGTAAATGTGAGATCTTCACAACACAAATTTTGAGTGTGACCCATCCATCAACATCATACAAAGACAGCAATTGCCAGATATCTGAGGGACCACACAATTAATTTAGGCCTATCAGAGCTGGTATGTTTCTTAACCACTTGTATACCGGGCACTTTCACCCCCCTTCCTGCCCAGGCCAATTTTCAGCTTTCAGTGCTGTTGCACTTTGAATGACAATTGCATGGTCATGCAACACTACTCATATGAAATTTTTATAATTTTTTTGAGACGGAGCTTTCTTTTGGTGGTATCTGGGTTTTTTATATTTTGCTAAACAAACCAAAAACAACTGAAAATGTTGAAAAAAAAAGTTTTTTTTTTTTCTTCTTAGTTTCTGTTATAAAATTTAGTAAATTAGTACTTTCTCTTTCACTAATGTGCGCTAATGAGGCTGCACTGATAGGCGGCACTGATTGGAACTGTTATGCGGCACTGACGGGCTCTGATTGGCAGCACTGATAGGTGGCACTGACTGGCACTGATAGGTGGCACTGAAAGGTAGCTCAGATGGGCAATGATATGTGGCATTGATGTGCACTGGTAGGCACTGATATGTGGCATTGATGGGCACTGACAGGTGGCATTGATGGGCACTGATGGGGCTACGCTGATCATCAGGGCACTGATCATCAGTGCCCTGATGATCATTGTAGATGTCCCCTCTGAGGAAGGCCAATTACTGGCTCTCCTGTCCTCACAAGCTGTCAGCGTTTCCTTGTTTACATGTGATCAGCTGTGATTGGACACAGCTGATCACATGACAGAGCTGATGTCATCGGCTCTTTCCGCTGATCGGTGATCCGCTGATCCCAGGGACACAGCGCACCACCAATCGCCGTGATGCGTGCCCCCGGGGGCATGCACGTACGGTTGGAGTGGAAGGACGTCGTATGACGTCCTCCCAGAACAAGATAACCGCCACCCGTCCATCATTTCCTTATATGGGGGGCGGGAGGCGGTTTAGCTGGCCATACATGGATCTAAATTCAGCCAGTTCAGCTGGGACCAACCAAAATTTGATCCATGTTTGGGCAGGCTAATTGTACCCAAGTCTGTCCATCGGTTGACTTGGGTACAACAAGCCTGTTGGATTTTTTTTTTACATGCAGCATGTTCTGCCTTTCGGGAAGGCTCCCCGCCTTCGCCCCCTGCCAGCAGAACACAATAGAGCTGCGGAAGACATTTCCCCATCAACACTGTGTTGATGGGGAAATAAATGAGTTTCTCTTGCAACAAAGAGGGGCACTTATTCAGAATATTTAGAATCTGCCATCCACTGCAGCTCTTATCTTACATTGCTCTTGTGTCCCACACGAGTCTTAGCACATTGGGATTCTTGTGAGAGAAATGAGCATTTGTTTTTATGAAGCATTCTAATGAACAATTTTTCGCCATCAGTCCCTCTGTTTTTCCAGATTGCTTTTATCTGAGTTTGAACTTTTTTGATGTTTGAATGTCTGCCCCAGGGATTTTCAGTAGGAGAAGAATGCTCCAGTGGGTTGATGAATAGTGGTGGTAGCTGATTAAATGCTCTCTTTGATGTATGTGGAGAAGTCATAGTCAGGATTTGCATCAAATATAGTTTACATTTTTTTAAACACAGTTTGAGAGTTTGGATACCAAACTTTTTATTGTTTTCTTTGCTCTTTATCAGTGGATTGTTTTTATAAATTAGATAGTAGTGGTTTACTGCACAGTGCTACATTATTCTTGCCAGATTTGAAGATACGTTTTTACTTTCTGCTATATGGTGGCTGCTAGTAGGAGTTAATATTATTTTTTCATATATACAGTATATCAAGTATCTTTTTTCCATTAAAGTTACTCTAAATTATATCCTTCTCCAAAAATAATCCATACGCATCCACAATTTAAAGCAGAACTTTACCCATAACAATTTGATAAAAAGTTATGTTTTTTGGCAAGGAACATACATTCCTCAATAATAATTATGCTACCAAAATTGTGTGTGTTCTGCAAATTGCCTCCAGCATTGGTCCTGTTCCTTCTTTCTGGAGGCTGCCATTTTGCTGAAGCCCAGAGTCCTGAGCAGCAGTAAATCTTTAGGCTGTCTGCAGATCATTTATGACCGTGCCTAAAAATAGAGAACAACTGAGCATGTGCAGAGTAGGGTGCAACAGTGTGTTACTGGATTTTAGACAGTATAAGCACTTATTTTTAATGTTTTACATAGTTATGTCTGCACAATGGGGCCAGCCTGAAGTGATCTATCAGTACTTAATTTTCTGACTAAAGTTCCATTTTAATGGCCCTGTAATCTATTTTTCATGTGATCTTTTTTTACTGTGTTTATCTGCCTTCGTGTAATATCCTTCATGAGCTATAAGTGCACGTTGGTTGCAGTCATTTGCACTGTTCTGTGCACACAAATCCCATAGTCCATCTCAGGAGCGAGCAAGAGGAGGGTGGCTGCTTACAACTTACTTAGGTCCAATTAGTTTATACCAGGCATGTCTAAATTAGATTGGAGTAGACCAAAGAGAGGGCACCACAATATATCTGAGGCTGCACCTACCTAATTCCAGAAAATGATAATGGCACTTTGGAACAATTGTCAATTTGCAATTTTTAATGCGGTAAGGTGCCATTAAACATTTCCCGAAGTACTGAAATGATGTGGTCCATATATCATGTTATATACAGTTAAGTCCATATAAATTTGGACACAGGCACAATTTTAGTTTTTTTTTTTTTTTTCAGGTATTTACCAAAACATATCCAAGCTATAGTTATTTAATGGATATGGGCTGAAAGTGCACACTCTAAGGTTTAATTCGAGGGTATGTACAGTCACATTGGAGGAAGGATTTAGGAATTACAGTTCTTAAGAGCAGCCATCCCCCCTTTTTCAAGGGACCAAAAGTAATTGGACAATTGAATATAATCATAAATAAAATGTTAATTTTTTAATATTTTGTTGAGAATCCTTTACTGGTAATGACTGAAGTCTGGAACCCATGGACATTACCAAAGACTGGGTTTCCTCCTTTCTGATGCTTTGCCAGGCTCTAACTGCAGCTGTCTTCAGTTGTTTGTTTGTAGGTCTGCCTTTTAGTTTTGCCTTCAGCAAGTGAAATGCATGCTCAATTGGGTTGAGATCAGGTGATTGACTTGTCCATTGCAGAATATTCCACTTCTTTTCCTTCAAAAACAACTGGGTTGCTTTTGCAGTGTGTTTTGGATCATTGTCCATCTGTATTGTGAAGCGCCGTCCAATCAACCTTGCTGCATTTGGCTGAATCTGGGCTGACGGTATATCTCTAAACACTGCAGAATTCATCCGGCTGCTTCTGTCACATCATCAATAAACACCAATGACCCAGTGCCACTGGAAGCCATGCATGCCCATGCCATTAAACTGCCTCCACCATGTTTTACAGATGACGTTGTGTGCTTTGTATCATGAGCTGTTCCAAGCCTTCTCCACACTTTTTTTTTTTTTTTTTTTCTTCCCGTCATTCTGATACAGATTAATCTTCTTTTCATCCGTCCAAATAATGCTTTTCCAGAACTGGTCTGGCTTTTTTAGATGTTTTTTGGCAAAGTCTAATCAGGCTTTTCTATTCTTCAGGCTTATGAATGGTTTGTACCTTGTGGTGAACCCTCTGTATTTGCTCTCGTGACGCCCATATCCTGGAGAGTGTCCTTCGCTTGTCTGGATGTTGTGAATGGGTTTTTTTTTTTACCATAAAGGGGATCCTGTGATCATTCACCACTGTTTTGTCTTCCGTGGACGTCCATGCCTTTTTATGTTGCTAAGCTCACCAGTGCGTTCTTCTTTCCTCAGAGTGTACCAAACAGTTGATTTTGGCCACTCCTAATGTTGCTGCTATATCTCTGATGGATTTGTTTCATTTTTGAAGCCTTACAATGGCCGGTTTCACTTGCATGGACAGCTCCTTTGAACGCATGATGTAGGTTCACAACAATGGATTCCAAATGCAAATACCACACTTAGAATCAACTCCAGACCTTTTACCTTCTTAATTGATGAAGAAGTAACAAAGGAGTAGCCCACACCTGGCCATGAAACCGTTTTTGATTCAATTGTCCAATTACTTTTGGACCCTTGAAAAAGGGGCGATGGCTACTCTTAAGAGCTGTATTTTTAAAAAAAAAAAAAACCTTCCTCCAATTTGGATGTACATACCCTCAAATTAAACTTGAGAGTGTGCACTTTCAGCCCATATCCATTATATAACTAGAATATGTTTTGGTAGATACCTGAAAAAATCTAAAATTGTGCCTGTGTCCAAATATATATGGACCTAACTGTATATTTAAAAGTAAGGGTCCCAACACTGAACCCTGGGGTACACCACTGACCCCTAGACCATTCAGAGTATGTATCATTAACCACTACTCTCTGAATACAATCTTTTAGCCAGTTTTCTATCCATTTATGTTTGGATTTTTCCAAGTCTGTGGACTTTACCTTACACATTAGCCATGTGTGGGGAACGGTGTCAAACGCTTCTGCAAAATCCAGTAGTATACCACCCCTCTGTCCAAGTCCACTGCCACCCCTCTGTCCAAGTATACCACGTCCACTGCCACCCCTCTGTCCAAGTATACCACGTCCACTGCCACCCCTCTGTCCAAGTATACCACGTCCACTGCCACCCCTCTGTCCAAGTATACCACGTCCACTGCCACCCCTCTGTCCAAGTATACCACGTCCACTGCCACCCCTCTGTCCAAGTATCCAAGTCCACTGCCATCTGTCCAAGTCCACTGCCACCCCCTCTGTCCAAGTATACCACTGTCCACCGCCACCGCCACCCCTCTGTCCAAGGTTTTGCTCACTCCTCATCCAAGAAAGAATTCAGATTTGTTTAACAACTTCTGCCTTTCATGCCACCCCCTTCTCACCTCCTTTCTTGCCTAAAGTATTGTTTTCAAGCAAAAACTCATCTATGTGGTCTTTTATAAAACTCTCCAGTATCTTCCCAACTATAGAAGTTACTTGAAGAAGGTACTTGGTCAAAACTTTGATCCTTTTTTAAATATAGGCACCACATCGGCCTTACACCAATCTGTTGGTAGAGTCATTAAAGTGTTACTAAAGGCAGAATTGTTTTTTTAAATTAAAATAACAAACAAGTTATACTCACCTGTTTTGTGTAGTTGTATTTCACAGAGGGGCCTCGATCCTCCTCTTCTTATGTCCCCTGCCAGGGATCATGGCTCCTCCTCTTCTTTGTGTGTACCCATAGCAAGTTGTTTTCTATGAGGACAAATGTATGCTCACTCACGACCTGGGTGTCTACAGAACTGCATTCCATAGACGCCCACAGCGGGACTTAGCCCCGCCCCCAGTTCCTCTGCACCACACTTGATTGACAGCAGCAAGAGCCAGTGACTCCTGCAGCTGTTAGTCCCTGTGTGAAGAGGAAGCGAGGGGAGAAGAGGTGCAGCTATGCATGGTGCTGATCTCTTCTCCCCTTTCTTCCTCTTCACACCGGGAACTTGAGAACTTTTTTTTACCTTAATGCAAGCAATGCATTAAGGTGAAAAAACCTTCTTGGGCTTAGTATCACTTTAAAGAGTCTTTTAAAATTAGAACATTCCCATTTCTGTTCTATGTTCTTCGATGACAATAAGCCCTTCTAGTCTGTCTTGGACAGCAGCCCTCCATCCATAGACCAAGCATAGGTGCACTTTTTAAGGTGCTTTCCAAACATTTATATATATATATATTTTTTTTTGTTTGTTTTATATACACCTGCATACTTACTGTTACAAGATGTTCTGAATATTTTATGTATTTTTTTTTTCAGGAGCCTGTGTTGAAAACAAACTGATGAGCCCACAAGGAATGGTAATTTATTCCAGGCTGCCTAGCAAGGAAACACTGCAGGGCCAGCTTGTAGGTACACTGACAACAATGACTTCTCAAACATCTTGTTTGTTGACACATCATTCATCACATCTGTCCAAGCTGCTGGAGCAGCACAGCAAGGAGGATGTCAAGAGTGACTGAGGAACTCCTGTTTATTATTGATAAGACTTTTTAATAAAATTGCATGTAGTGAACACCGTATCTATAAAATGCTTTTTATTGACATGATCAATCAGAACATATGATCCTTATTTTACATTTGATATAGAATGGCACACCTGTTCAGTTTGTAACATCCGTATTAGACTAGCAGTCCATCTGCCCTGAGAACGGTTTTAATGCACAGCAATTGTAGTTTAATCTCAACACCTTAATAGACAGCCAGTCCAATCCTAACTTGAATCATACAGCACCTAGTGCATTGTACAGTTGCAGGAAAAAAAAATTTTTGAACTATCTTTAGCTGGATTGCTGTAGGAATGGCTCCTAAAATATGGCTTACCCTCATCTAATGCATAAGACAGTCCTATTTAACAAATAACATACACTGTTTTACATGGTCCTATCTTTACTAAACCAATCATTTAAAGCCAAGTTCCTTGATTGAAAGTTGACCTTTCAGGATAATGACATTTAAAAAATAAGGTACATTGGTATTTGAGTCAGTCAGTTTTTAAGGGTGTGGTAATGGCAGCCTACCTGATTTAGGGAAGAAAAAAAAAAAAGTACACCGTGTTTAGTTACTGATAGTCTGGTCATCTCAAGAAAGTTGTGCTGATGTAATTTAGGCCAAGATCCAAGGATGTGAAAGAATGTACACATGTATTTATAAAGACCTGGGTGTTCATCGAGCCACAAAATACAAACTGTCTTCAAATAACGAAAATATAGGGCAGTTACTACTCTCTCCCTTTTGGTGGGCATCCTGGAAATGGTGAAAGTGATGAAACAATTGTAAGGGAACAGTAAAGCCGCTGCAGAAATCCCTTAGCTTGTGAAAGTCTCTATTCATTTATCCAGTGTTAGAACACTGAACAAGAACATACATGAAAGGACTCCACAAGGGAATCTACTACACTTCAAAAGTAAATGCTGCACTTCTCAACTCTGGAAACTGTATTTACTTATTTTAGGTACTTGTATAGCGCCATCAATTTTATGCAGCGCTTTACATATATATTGTACATTTACATCAGTCCCTAACCCTCAAGGGGCATACAATCTAAGGTCCCTAACTTACATTCATACACATACTAGGGCCAATTTAGACAGGATTCAATTAACTTACCAGCATGTGTGGGAGGAAACCGGAGTACCCGAGGAAACCCACGCAGGCACGGAAAGCATGCACTCCAGGCATGTGGTGTCATGGCTGGGATTTGAACCAGCGACACTAGTACTGCTAGGCAGAAGTGCTAACCATTTAGCGACTGTGTTGCTAAATACCAATTAGGTCCCTAGTGCCCAACAGCCTGCAGGTATAGAAAGCAGATGGGGGCTGCAATGATCTGTGTTCCAGCACTAAAAGAGAGACTATGCTTTGGGAAGAGTTAACTCCGCCCACAGTCCAAGAAACCAAGAAGTCCTGGCCTGGGAGGAGAGGCTTGGGAGCCTGTGATAGGTGACTAATCACCAATTTGGGGGGGGGGGGGGCTAACTTTCACCGCCATGACAACCAATGCAGGAGGAGGGGTCGGGGTGTTAAATTTCACTGCCATAACCATTGATGCAAGAGTCGGATGGGGGTTTAATTTTTACTGCCAGTGACCATCCAGGTGGGTGGGTTAATTCTCACTGCCACTGATCACCAATGTTGGAAGGGGGGGTACATTTCAAAAGTGACCACCAATGTGTAGGGGATTAATAGTACTGACACCAGTGCTGCGGGGGGGTTTTATTGCATCTACTGATAGCCATGTTGGGGGTTATTATTGCGTCTGACACCAGTGCTGGGTGTTGTTATTGCATCCATTGAAACCAATGCTTGGAGACTTAAATTTGACTGCCAGTTACCACCAGTGTGTGTGTGGGGGGAGGGGGGGTTAATAGTACTAACACCAGTGGTGGTGGTTATTATTGCTACCTGTGGGGATTTTTATTGCATCCATTACACCAATTCTGGTGGTTATTATTGCATCCATTGACACCAGTGCTATAGGTTACTATTGCGTCAACTGACACCAATGCTGGGGGTTATTATTGCATCCGTTGGCACCAGTTCTGACGGTTACTATTGCATCAACTGACACCAATGCAAGAGGCTGTTATTGCATCCAGTGACACCAATGTTGGGGGTTATTATTGTGTCCATTGACACTAGTGCTGGAGGTTTACTATTGTATCCATTGACACCTATGCTGGGGGTTATTGTTGCGTCCACTGACCCCAATGTTGGGGGTTATACCAATACTAGACATATTAAACTCCAACTTCTTCAGTGTGCATTGCAATACACTGCAAGTAATGCAGCAGAATCAACATTTTTGGGCAGTGAAGTTTGAACTCACGCTGGCATTCTGGAGGTGTTGGAGGGGCCACACATGAGGCCCTCCTATAATTTTCCAGTTGACCATCCCTGAGCTAGATATTCCAAAGTGCTTCTAGGTGATTGCTTTGTGGACAGTTTGATGTACATAGACATAAAGCACCAAACACCAGATCCTCACTGTAGCCATGAAGCATTGTAGGAGCATCATAGTTTGGGGCTGCGTTCCTATTACAGCAAACAAATAAAAATGAAATTAATACATTTTACAGTAAGATGTTAAGGCAGTGGCCCAGGATTTCAGTAGGCCATAAAGGTTTCCCAAAGATGGCCATTGTTTCCTATAGAAGAACCTGGTGCATGTGTGGGATCTCTAGTGATGCTCAGCATGAGTTTCACCATATATTGTGCAATTGTGAAGCCAGAGACCAAACCTCAACTCCTTTGAGATGATAAGCCCAAAGAAAACTTTTCATGTAAGAAATAACACAAACACCAGTGTATTGAAAGTTTTAAGAACGTCTTCGTACAGGAGTACAATTGTTTGTGTGTTAGTAGTACAAAATATAATCTACTTAAACTGGGAATTAAAGAATGGACCACATTTTGGGAGTTCTTGTTTTCAATTTCCAGGCAATTACTGAGTGTAAATCCTATTTCTAACAACTGTGTATATGGGGAAAAAATAAAATAGGCAACATGCTGGTTCTGAGTTGGTGACTTTAGCATCTATGAAGCTGAATATGCTCTACCTTGAAATGTGGCCAGGCCCCTATGAAGTTGTCTACATTTGCATGTTGCACACTGAGAAAGGTGGCAAAAAAACAAGACTTTGTCAATGTACACAACTTATGGGGCCAGTGTCAAATGGGCTGCATTTGAAGCAGACAGGGCCCTGCTCAGTTTGCAGGACATGTTGAGCAGACAAGTGCTGGCAAAATGTCTTTCAAGGCAGAGCTGTTGAGGAGCGGTGCTCTGGAAGCACCCTATACCTTCCCTGCCCTTGGTTATGTGACATCACAATCACCATTATGGGGCAAAATTTGCACTAGGGTCCATACATAATTAGCAATGCCCTTGCCCAAGGCACTGTTCTCTTTTGTAGTTTGGTGGTAACTTTCATGCTCTCGGTAATGTTATTGGCTGTAGAATCCACAGAATGGCAAGTCTGTGTCTCTGTCATACATGTGGGGGGATGCATCTGGTTTATATGGTGACAGTCTCCGCCTTTTGCTGTCCTCTGCATACGTTGTATGGTCTCCCCAAAGACTAGATTGCTCTTCTTTTTCTCGGTTATCTAGAAAGGGATAAACCCAGGTAGACGGTGTAGGATTGGGTTTCGGATGGTATTGAGCTGGTCCTGCCCAGGCTGAACCCAAGGAATCTGCATAATAACCCAGAGGAGGTGGCTGGGTATAACACTTCATAGCATAGGCTGCAGCCATTTTGCCTGTGGTTTCATAAGGTGCGTAGTCCCGAGGTGGAGCAATACCTTGAGACGATAAGTACCAAGGTGGTGGTTCTTTCTGTTCTACAGAGTAGAGACGTGTCGTCTGCAGAGGGTTGTGCAAGAAAGGATTAGGATAGCAGACAGGTGGTGATGGTGTTTGGCGTTCAACAGATGGGACACACAACCTACCAGAAGAAAAAAAATTATTTATTGTCAGTCCACAAAACCAGCACGAATATTACTGCTAGTGTACATGAATAGAATTTGCACATTATGCTTCTAAGAACTCTATGGGACACTAAAGGTTCACAGAATGCACTACAGACTCTTGGCTCTGAAAAGTCACGTTCAAGGTTAATTGAATGGCTCTTCCCTTTATGGAAATGGCTACAGAGTTTTATAATGTCTACTAACCCCATCATTTCAGTGCCTGTTTGTGTTTCACAGTGGTCCCGGAATCCTTTAGCGAATGGATTGTGATCAATTTTCAGCTGTGTGATCTGCAGCAGAAAACAATGAAATGAATGTCAGTCTTATTGAAAAATGGCTGGCTGGATTTTTTTTTTACATAGGTTGAAAAAAAAGTCACAAATCCATCTAGTTCAACCAATGGAAAAATAAATAGCCTACATCTACAGAACCCTACAGTTAGGTTGAAAAAAGACAAAGTCCATGTAGTTCAACCAACAGAAAAAACAAAACAAATAGAAAACCTCCATATACACAATTGTATAGCACAGTTGATCCAAAAGAAGACAAAAAAACCCCCAAAACATTAAAGCATGATCAAATTTGATTTTGATACAACAGTAATTTTTATTATTCGCTTTTATCTAATTTGCAATGCCATACTTGTGAATTACACTATTATAATTGTCTATTTCTTATTTTATCTTATCTATTTTTATTTTTCATATATTATTGTTCACATTTTATATTTCTTTTTAGCATGCAAATAATATGTATAGGGTAGCAGACATCAATCATATGTACATGTAAAAGTATCATTGTTTTTCAGTGGATAATTTTAATGTTATAAAGATATACAGAAGAGATATAACACAGGTTATTAGAAGTTGCTAGAAGACACTTGGCTCCTATAGGGAGTCAATTTGGGGTTAATTTCCCGGAGACCTGGGTTGACTAGGTGAGTGGTGGGTGGACTTGATAAAGGAGGTCACGCCCTCTAAAACATGTCATAACAACAGCAATGCCATCCAATCAGCGTAATGTACCGCGTCCCACGTGCCAGAGAGGGTGGCGCCGGTCCATCCAGGTGCCGGAGGAGGTCCTGTTACGGAGACCTGTCATCGTGTGAGTGGAGGAGAGGAGGCTGCTCGTACAGAATACATACAAACTAAATGTTTAGCACTTTTGCCTGGCAGTACTAGGGTCGTTGGTACAAATCTCAACCACGGCACCACCTGCCTGGAGTTTACATGTTCTCCCTGTGCCTGCGTGGGTTTCATCCGGGTACTCCGGTCTCCTCCCACATTCCAAAGACATACTGGTAGGTTAATTGGCTCCTGTCTAAATTGGCCCTAGTATGTGTATGTATGAATGTGAGTTAGGGACCTTAGACTGTACACCCCTTGAGGGTTAGGGACTGATGTGACTGTACAATATGTGTATGTGTATATATATATATATATATATATATATATATACACACTATATTGCCAAAAGTATTGTCACAACCCTTCAAATCATTGGATTCAGGTGTTCCAATCACCTCCATGGCCACTGGTGTATAATAGCAAGTACCTAGGCATGCAGACTGCTTCTACAAACATTTGTGAAAGAATGGGTCGCTCTCAGGAGCTCAGTGAATTCAAGCGTGGTACCGTGATAGGTTGTCACCTGTGCAATAAGTCCATCCGTGACATTTCCTTACTACTAAATATTCCATGGTCAACTGTTAGTGGTATTATAACAAAATGTAAACAACTGAGAACAACAGCAACTCAGCCATGAAGTGGTAGGCCACGTAAAATGACAGACAGGGTCAATGCATGCTGAAGCGCACAGTGCGCAGAAGTCGCCAACTGTCTGCAGAGTCAATAGCTAAAGACCTCCAAACTTCATGTGGCCTTCAGATTAGCACAACAACAGTGCATAGAGAGCTTCATAGAATGGGTTTCCATGGCTGAGTAGCTGCATGCAAGCCTTACATTACCAAGTGCAATGCAAAGCGTGGATGCAGTGGTGTAAAGCACGCCGCCACTGGACTCTAGAGAACATGTCTCCACTGCTCTAGAGTAAGGAATCATGCTTCTCTGGCAAACCGATGAACATGTTTGGGTTTGGCGGTTGCCAGGAGAACGGCACTTGCCTGACTGCATTGTGCCAAGTGTTAAGTTTGGTGAAGGGGGATTATGGTGTGGGGTTGTTTTTGAGGGGTTGGGCTGGGCCACCTAGTTCCAGTGAAGGGAACTCTTAAGGCGTCAGACATTTTGGACAATTTCATGGTCCCAACTTTGCGGGAACAGTTTGGGGATGGCCCCTTCCTGTTCCCACATGACTGCACCAGTGCACAAAGCAAGGTCCATAAAGACATGGATAAGTGAGATTAGGGTGGAGGAACTTGACTGGCCTGCAGTCCTGACCTCAACCCAATAGAACACCTTTGGATGAATTAGAGCGGAGACTGCGAGCCTTCTCTGCGAGACCTTCTCGTCCGACATCAGTGCCTGACCTCACAAATGTGCTTCTGGAAGAATGGTCAAACATTCCCATAGACACACTTCTAAACCTTGAGGATTTCCCAGAAGAGTTGAAGCTGTTATAGCTGCAAAGGGCGGGCCAATTCAATATTGAACCCTACGGACTAAGACTGGGATGTCATTAAAGCTCATGTGCGTGTGAAGGCAGGCCGACCAATACTTTTGGCAACATAGTGTATATATGTAAAGCGCTGCGTAAATTGACAGTGCTATATAAGTACCTGAAAATAAATAAACTACACCATCCATACTGTCATATGAGCTTTACCCAGGATACGATGAGAGGACTTGGTTACCTTGCAGTTCGGCGATGTTCTTAGGATGTCATGCCATGCACAAGTCATTGTACAACAAGTGTGAGTTTTTAAGTTTTTTTTTAAGTCTTTAATTCTTATTGTTCATATTAAAAGGTACTGCACCAGAGCCTATTTGCTCTCTGTCTTCTTTATCAAATTTTATTCAGCAGGGCAAAAAATCCTTCCTGATCCCCCAGGAGGTAATCGGATATTTCCTGGATCAACTAACCCTGGTGTTATTACCTCTAAATATTAGAATCCAGTTATATTTTGTGTATTTAGGAACACATCCAGCTCTTTTTCTAAACACTCTACTGAGCTGCCCAGAACTATATTTTATTATTTGTATTAAAAGAGCTATAGACTCCAGAGATAGATATCATATTACCCCGGTACAAATCATTAGTAATACCTCATCTGTAGTATGCAGTTCAGTTTTTGGCACCAATTCACAAAAAGAACATTGGGGAACTGGAGAAAGTACAGAGAAGGGCAACTAAACTGATAAGAGGCATGGAGGAGATCAGCTATGAGGAAAGATTAGAGGAACTGAATTTATTCTCTCTTGAGAAGAGGAGATTAAGGGGGGATATGATCAACATGTATAAATACATCAGTGGTTCATATAGTGAACTCGGTGTAGAGCTATTTACCCTGAGGTCATCACAGAGGACAAGGGGGCACTCTTTACATTTGAAGGGAAAGAGACTTAATCTCCAAATATGAAAAGGTTTTCTTCACAGTGAAAGCTGTGAAAATGTGGAATAGACTCCCTCAAGAGTTGGTTCTGGCCAGCTCAGTGGCTTTAAAAAAGGCCTGGATTCTTTCTTAGATACACAGAATATAACTGGATACTAACATTTATAGGTAAAGTTGATCCAGGGAATATCTGATTGCCTCTCAGGGGACCAGGAAGGAATTCTTTCCCCTGCAGGAGCAAATTGGATCATGCTTTGCTGTTTTTTTTTTTGTCTTCCTCTGGATCAATTGTGGGTATAGGATTATATATATATATATATTTTATTTTATTTTTTTTGGTTGAACTGGATGGACTTTTGTCTTTTTTCAGCCAGACTAACTATGTAACATATTTGGAGGTTAAATCTCTACTTCCAGACAGAAAGAGTCCCCCCCTTGTCCTTTGTAATGACCTCATCCACTTGCTGCCCAAGCCAGTTCTGACACTTCTCACATACATGTTTTTTCTAGATAATTACTTAGAACCCCCAAGCATTATATATTTTCTCAAAGCAAAGGCCCTGGAGAAAAAAGTGGTGGTTTAAATTTTTTCTGTCACGTCATATTTTACACCGGTTTTTAAAAGCAAATTTAAAAAAAAAAACATTCATGAATTTTAGTGCGCACAAACATATTATAATACTCAATTGTTTAGTAAAATATAAAAGATGACGTTACACCAAGTAAAAAGCTACTTCCATGTCGTGCTTTATAATTGCCCACACCCGTGGAATGGCGACGGTACCTAAATATCTCCATAGGCCATGCTTTAAAAGCCTAAGAGGAGGAGTCGACAAGGAGATAAGGAGCAGAGGTAAGTAAGTATTTTTAAGGAAAAAAATTAAAGTTTACAACCACTTTAAGATAATATATATTATGTGTCCCAATATTGGGACTGTACTCACTTCAGCATTTTGATAAGCTGTGACAGCTATGAATTGGGTTTCTGGAAAGGTGAAGGTATGACTATGGTTCTCTGCGACTCCTGATTCCATCACTCGTGTCACATGCAGACGTGGTTGATACTTGTGAAGGGACTGCAGTACCACCATCTGTCAAATGAAAGAATAAATGTAATTTCTCCTCATATTGACTGGTTAATGGAAACATACTATTCATGGAGTCCTCATTTTTCTAAAAGCGATGAATGCATGGAAGAATAAAAAAAAATAGGAGCTGTATGTACTGACTCCTCTTATCACTGCTGTCAAGGGTGGGTTATATACAGCCAGAGCATACCTCCTGCCAAGTACCAGTATATTATAGCTGGGGTGCAAGTTGTAGAGAGCAGCCTAAACACATCACTGTTGTATGACTGCTAATACATATACACAGGGATTTTTTTCAGCGGGAACGCAGTTACGGCACCTCCAGCACTGAAAGTATGTGAGTGCTGGGATGTGCTGGAAAGTCTATTGATGCTCACTGCTGGGGGATCTATTGTTGCTGGGGGGATCTCTTGAGGAGGGAAAGGTCTATTGTTGCTGAAAGGTCAACTGTTGCTGGAAGGGATTTACTGTTGTGGAAGGGTGTGTTGAGATCTATTGTGGCTAGTGGGGTCTGCTGTTGCAGGAGTGGCTCTATTGTTGCTGGGTGTGCTTTTCTTGCTGGCAACAGGGGATCTTATTTACTGCTTTTTATGTTTTTTTTTTTGTTTTTTTAAGTATATTCCGTACAATTTACTTAACACCACAAAAGTATACTTGGTTTTGTATTCACTAAAAGGGGTGGTACTGGTAGGTGGGTAGGCAGTGGAACCAAAGGATGGTGAGTAGGTGGGTAGGGGATAGAGACAAGGGGTGACTCAGAAGGGGGGAGTTCCTGCACCTATTCTCTGGGGGGAAAAAAGCCCTGCATATACAGTAGATCACAGGTGTCAAACTGGCGGCCCTCCAGCTTTTGTCAAACTACAAGTCCCATGAGGCATTGCAAGATTGACAGTTACAAACATGACTCCCAAAGGCAAAAGCATGATGGGACTTCAAGTTTCTCAACAGCTGGAGGGCTGCCAGTTTGACACCCGTGACTGCTGACAGAATTGCTTCTGATTTAAAGAATATTAAAGAGTTCTATATATGGCCTTATTATATATTACATATTGGAATAAAGGAGAATTAGAAACAACTTACTTCCTCAACAGTAATAGTGGTGTGTGACCCTCCTGCGCTCCAAATATTGTGTTTAAACAATTAAACAAATTAAATATATGAACCCCAAACAGCTGCTAGCATTAAATCATATACCAGTGATCAGTGAAGTGAATATAAACCATATAAATGCTGCGCTACATTCAAATTAAAGTGAATGTGGAATCCAATGACACAAATCTAATATAGTGACAATAATATGGAAATAAATATATAAGTGCTTGATAATAACAAAAATCATCACATCAACACCCAAAAGATGAAAAAATAAAAAACTTAAATCTATACGCATGTGCATAAATTACAGACCTCTGTGCTGTGATTGACCCTTTCACATGCTAATCTCAATTCCCATTGCTAACAGGAAGTATTCAGTATCCAGACATTAAGGGAACAGATTGATATTTCATCTATACCTGGAGAAGAGTTTAAGTGGGAATATTGAATTCTGAAAAGCGTTTCTGGAGTGCTGTGGTGCCTGGAGGATCTGTGAGAGGGATCCATTATTGCTCTTTGATCCGCAAGGGTCGAAGTGATGAGGTGAGAGGCTAATCCAGAAGGTGGTTGGATTCACAAGTTTCTATCTACACTCAGATACCTGCACGATTTGTTTCACCTGTGGTCACTTTATAATATTATTGGAAACACCGTTTACATTTTTTCACCTTTAACATTTATATATTTATATTTTTTTGCGCTTAATAAGTAAATATTATTTCACTTCACATTTGCACGTGTGATGTAACTATATGTACAGTTGTGGCCAAAATTATTCAACCCCCAATGCTGTAAAGGGGTTTAGGGACTATAGTGTACATTTGGAATTGTATTCAGAATCAAATCCTACAAGGACGTTGTAACTACCCAAATGCAACTAAAATGACATCAATTGTTTATGTAATACAGTAGTAAATGGTTCTTATGTGGTTTCTTCATTGCCACAATTATTCAACCCTTAAAGACTACCACTCTGAAGAACAGAGGTTCATACAGGTGCTTTCCATCAGGTATTGAAAACACCTGTGGATGTCACCGAGCAGCAATCAAGCATAATAAGCACCAATTAGGCAGCTTTAAAATGACTGTGATACTCAGCTCCTTCTAGACATTTACTGGTGTGGTTACAAACATGGTGAAGGCAAGAGAATGGTCCAGGAAGACAAGAGAAGAGGTGATTTCTCTTCACAGGAAGGGCAATGGCTATAAGAAGATTGCAAAGATGTTAAAACATACCAAGAGACACCTTAGGAAGCATCATTCGCAAATTCAAGGCAAAGGGCACTGTTGAAACGCTACCTGGTCGTGGCAGAAAGAAGATGCTGACTTCGACTGCTGTGCGCTACCTGAAGCGTAGAGTGGAGAGAAGTCCCCGTGTGACTGCTGAGGAACTGAGAAAAGATTTGTCAGATGTGGGTACAGAAGTTTCAGCCCAGACAATAAGACGCACACTGCGTAATGAAGGCCTCCGTGCCAGAACTCCCAGGCGTACCCCCTTGCTGTCTCCAAAGAATAAGAAGAGTCGACTGCAGTATGCCAAAAGCCATGTGGACAAACCACAAAAGTTGTGGGATAGTGTTCTGTGGACTGATGAAACAAAATTAGAACTGTTTGGGCCCATGGATCAACGC